CATCTCCTGCAAGGTCAAATCTTTACTCTCTTTTTTTGCAGTAATTAATAATTTAATACGCTTCTGTTTGTAAAATTGTCTGATCAGTTTTGGGTATTTCCTTGTTTTTTCTCAGCTTCAACACATGATGAAAACAGGGGTGAAATTATCCGATCACATATGCAACCGGGACTCTCTGGTGTTGCCGGAGCCGGGATTCGGAGACGACCTGTTTACACCGGAGACCGTCCTCGAACCCACGGCTTCCATCAGCGCTGGCTCCGCTTCCAGCATTTCCGGCGGCGCAGTCGAGTGCCGGATACTTGCTAGCACTGCCACCACAGAAATCGTGAAGAAGAAGCGGAGCACTCTGTCAGCGCCGCCGGCGGTCCGGTCTCCCTCCCAGCCAAATTGTGCGGCGTTTTCGAAAGTTCTGCCGGCGGCCGTGATGAACCGGAGGAAGAACCGCCCCCACCGGTCTCCGCTTCAGTAGCTTTGACCGGAGACATGTGCAATAGATGTGCGTTTAAGGTTTAAGTGCAGAATTTTGTGACTATATATACAAGGAATTGACAATGATAGAAATAGTGGTCTGTCTGTCTGTCTTTTTGGTATCAACAAAACACAAACACATCAAAGTTCAAACTATGATGACATCCTTTTTCTAGTTTTATATTCATTTCTTTTCTCCCGTCTCTTATATTATGTGTTTCTGTCTTGTCTTGACGGGTATGTTAATCACTCGTTATATCATATTTAATTTTAACGCAATCTATAGTGTAGTATCAAATATAGAGAGAAATGTTAGTTGAAATGCAATTAAGTTTTGTTTTATCTCATGGTTGCAAAAAGCAAGTATATATGTATTCTAGTATATTGAAGAGGGTGGTTGTCTGGTTGGTGTGTTTGGTCGTGAAATGGAAGATGAAAGATGTATGGTTTCTTTCCTTTCTATAAATGGCCTCCTGTTGGCTTATGGTAGTTTTCGTGCTAAATGGCAATGCTTTCAAATCTCTCTTGGAAATGTTGGTACTTTCCTTTTTCATCTTTGGTAGATTGCATGTCTAAAGGAGTTGGAATTGATGAGGCTCACAATAGGGAACTATGAGGAAATTGGTTTTTGAATGTAGTTACGATGTTTGAATTTGCACAATTGGTTTCTAGCTAATGAGAGAGAATAACACAAAGTATGTTTGGGTATTATTGTTACTTGATATTGATATTTGTAATTTCGTGATTACCTTTTTCTTATCAATGAAAACGCAAAACACTACTGTACGATTCCATGCACGTCATTTGCACCAAATGCATTTAATGCCAACACTTGAAAATGATCGTTAGTCGTAACTCAAAATTTGTTAGGAATAATCTCGTAAATACCTCGAGATTCCTTGATCACCTTTTTCTGGTCAATGAAAATGCAAAACTGTACAACACAATTCAACGTCATTCTCATCAAACGCATATTAATGCCAACACTTGAAAATTGTTGTTAGTTGTCACTCAAAAATGGAAAAAAGTGATATAATGTTTTATGTACTAGGAGAAGTTGTAAGTTCCACTTAGATGTGTCAAACGAACGCGTTAATCCGAAATTTAGTACAGGCTCAACCCGGTTTATTTATGTACAATGGGCACGATAGGGCTAGCTCGTTTTATACTGTTGATAGGGTCAAATTTTAATTTTTTGCCCATGGATCGGCCCGCCCAGTCCGATTCGTACATTTAAAAAATAATAATATACATATATATACTCTAATAGAGTAATGACTGATGAGATTATCACATTAGAAACTGTGATATTGATTTTATACCTATTAAATTCGTATGCATTTACTATTTAGCTAGTTAACTACTTAACTAGTATACTAATTAGTAATTACTACCTAAAAATATGAGTTAATACCCAAAATCGTCCTCGACTATAGTGGTTTTTCTCAATTTCGTCCTAAACGACTTTGGTGACCTAATATCGTCCCAGACTTTTGTGTTTCGCTCAATTTAGTCCTCCATTTGTTATTCGGTCAAATTGATGTTAAATAAAGGGACAATTCAGTAATGTCAATATTGATCTCTCTTTACTTTCAACTTGTGAAGTGCGAAATTCATCTTTCTTGTACGAATTACACCCAGAATTACTCCCGGACCTGCAAATCAAATTTTATATTTGCAGTTTTAGGAGTAATTCGTAAAAAAAAAAAAAAAAAAAAGATTTCGCAGTTCACATGTCTATGAGTAAAGAGATGCCAATATTAAAATTACTGAATTGTCTATTTATTTAACATCAAATGGACAGAATAACAAATGAAGGACTAAATTGAGCAAAAACACAAAAGTATGGGACTAAATTGAGCGAAACACAAAAGTCTGGGACGATATTAGGTCACCAAAGTCGTTTAGGAAGAAATTGAGAAAAACCACTATAGTCGAGGACGATTTTGGGTATTAACTCCTAAAAATATTGTGAAGTAGTAAAATTTTATTTGTTTCAAATTAAAAAAATTACCCTTACTTAGTAGCTACTAGTTTTTTTTTTTTTTGGGGGGGAAGACTTAGTAGTTAGTAGTTGTAATTTTTAATTTTATTCTTATTAATGGTATTACATTATTAATTTTTTTTTTATTTTCTTGTAATACAAAGTAATTCTTAAATAAAATAGTTGAAAATAAATATGTGAACTTGTAAGATTAATTTAGAAGGAATACATAATTTATAGTTTTTAATATTCTTTATTTTTATTTTTAGAGCTATGAACTCGGATTGACTTTAATTTTATTTTTTGATCGGGCTAAGTCCAATCCAAACTTTAATTGGATTGGACTGGATCAATCAAAAAATAAACAAACGGGCCAGTGGCAGACTGGCCCGAGCCCACCAAAGCCTTGAAAGTGAGATAATATAATCCAAAAATTAACGTTGTTTGATACCTCATAATATAGCTAAGTCAAGTCATTAAAGCACTTATTTATATCAGGTCAACTGATCAAGCATGAACAGGGCTCAAATCTGCAGCATGATATATAATAGATATATATAATCACGAACAAAATACGTAGTAGTAAAACAACATTACAACCTACAAACAACAATAATAATATAGAATTAATTTCACTTTTGGTCCCACGACTTTTGATGTTCTATCACTTTTGGTGCACAACTTTAAATTTTTTTAATTTTGGTGCCTAACTTTGTTATTTTTATCAGTTTTGGTCCTTCCAGCCAAATTGACGGTAAAATATTTCTGAATTTTATATTTTAGGGGCAAAATCGTCATCCCATGGAAAGATCTTCAATATTTAAACAAAAGAAAAACCATATTAAGAGGAAAAAAAGAGTTTGCCAATGGTCGAAACTATAAATCTCATAGATCTGTCTGGTTTCTGCCCGTCTTCCACATTATTCTCATCATCAAACACATATAGATATGATTTTACAGGATGATTTTGTTTAGATATTGAAGATGTTGCCTTGGGATGATGATTTTACCCCTAACAATATAAAATCCAGCAACATTTCGCTGTCAAATTCGCCAAAAGGACCAAAACTGATAAAAATAACAAAGTTAGGCACCAAAATTAAAAAAATTTAAAGTTGTGCACCAAAAGTGATATAACATCAAAAGTCGTGGGACCAAAAGTGAAATTAATTCTAATAATATAATACAATCATCGTATGATGACACCCGGCCCCACCTGCAACTGGAGAAAATGATGGAATGAATCAGTGTTGATCATCACCATTATTATCATCATCTTTTGTGTTGATCTTATTCTGCTTGCGATAAGTCTGTTCCATCATCTTCGCCCTGTGAAGAACACAAAAAGATTGGGTTTTGAGGTTTGGAACATTATAGTTCTGCGTTATGTACATCCCAGCAGACACCCCAACCATGAATGCAAAAGCTGTTCCTATAAGACCCATCTTCTGATCTGATCTCTTTCTCCTTCAATTCACACGTTGCTTCACTTTAATAATTTGTATATATGGGAATATGGATTGGAGTAAATAGAATGTATATAGGCCGAGCTGATTGGAGATTTCTTGTTTGACAAGTCGATCTATGGAGTCCTTTTACCTTAGCTTTGAGGCTTTGCCCCTCCTCCAAGACACTCAACTATTTTATTTTAATTTGACCAAACACTCCATTGAGGATATGATGGAGACTGGAAACTATTTCTTTTACAAATAAAATACTATGTTTTGTGTTCGAATTGAAACACACTTCAATTGATCAATCAACTTAGAATAAATAAATTCATAAGTTTTGATTGGCTAGTAGCTGCAATGTTGGGTAATTAAGCAAAAAGAACTTGATTTTGTATGATTTTAGCAATTTAAATGTTTTTTCAATTCATTATTTTTATGTTAATAATAAATATAAGATAATTCATAATAAATACAGAGTATGCATTATGAAGAAAAAAAAATTGGGTTAGTTTACTATGGCATATCTAAAAATGATGAAAAATTCTAACCTAAACAAAAAGAAGATGAAGATTCGAACGGATCGGAAGACAAATTATAAATTTCGTTAAATGAAACGACTCTTTAAGATTTTTTTTTTTTTTTTTAAATTATAAAGTCAACATATAATAGAATAATAGAAATGGCAATGTGGCAACCATCATGGTCTCATTATAAATCAACATTAGGCATCATAGTGTGATTTTTTAAAATTTAATTTTTAAAACTTAAGAACTACATAGACCCATGGGGTGCGAATATCAAGGTCTTGAGTTCAAGTTAGACTGAGACAACTACTTGTGACCCGACCCTAAAAAAGAAAAGAACAAAAATAAAAAAGATTAGAATTTAAAAAATGCTAAGTATATATAAACCACACATTTGCTAAAGTAGCTAGGAATGAAAAAGAGCTATCCATCTTGTGCATATGAGTGGTTAGAAATGTAACATTAAGATATACATATATAGTATAGTTGGATTTATATAATGTTAGGTGTGTAAATTATAGAGTTTGTTTGTATGCATATATGGACTCTCTCAAACTATCTATAAATGATGACAAGTGAATAACATAATAATACATATATGTTACATATTACCTAGTCCTTGTTGCAGCTAGCTAGCTAGAGATCTTATCTTCTTGGAATTGAAAATGGTTGGCTCTAAGGCATTTTCTGCAGCATTGACTCTGCTAAGCTTTCTCCTTTTCACTTGTATATCATTATCCCATTCCGATGCTGCCCCATGCCCTCCGGCTGCTGTACCGTCGCCGGCGGCCGCCAAGTGCCCGAAAGACACACTGAAGTTTGGGGTTTGCGGCGACTGGCTGGGGCTGGTTCACGAGGTGATCGGAGCTCCGCCGAGCAGCGAGTGCTGCTCTGTGTTGAAAGGGGTGGCGGAGCTTGAAGCTGCAGCGTGTCTGTGCACCGCCATTAAAGCCGACGTTTTGGGTGGCTTGAAGATGGAGATTCCGGTGGCTATAAGTTTGGTCCTTAATTCTTGTGGCAAGAAGGTGCCCAATGGCTTTGTATGTTAATGCATGCATGCCATTCTTTTCTTCAATTGGTTATTCCCATGCATTAATATAATTGGTTTGATCGAGTTTGATGTTTTGTTGTAAAATTAAAGAGGTTTGAGATTGGAGAAACGTGTGTAAGTGTGTTATTGTTATTACATTTTTTTATGCAAATTTGTTCAATACATATTGGTATTGTTAATTTTTAAATTACATTGTCTAGTATTTTTACCACTGCAAGATTAATAATGTGGCTTTACATCAAACTCAGAATATTATAATTCTGGACATTACATTAAAGGTCCGCCCTTGTCTTCTAATTGTCTCAAGTGGTTGGATTTAAAGTATTGGTGTTTGAATCATTAGTAGTCTATAACCCAAACCAATATAAATGGGTGATCCAATCAGAGATTGTATAGGGTTACGGATCAGGAAATTAAAATTAAAATAATGTATAAAGCTAAAACGAGTAGTTAAGGCAATGGAGCAATAATTAAGATACAAGAAAGTAAACTTGGTCTACCTTATGTGGGTCGAGAGGAGTTAAACAGCCCATTAGCGTTATGTTGTGCCAAATCCTACCCATAATCCTATTGCTCCAAAAATTAGCTAAGATATAATGCCTGGCCCATGAATAAAAAGAATATACAGAGAATATATATATATATATTCTACATAGGAATTAAGTTCCAGTGCAAGTGTCTCCCGTGTGGTTGTGCGTGAGTGTGTACTTAATGTGAGTTGTTGTTAAAACTTTGTGCGTGTATTTTTGTACTTAAGGTGCGTGAGAATTGTGCTTAAGATGCGTGACTTTTGTGCTTAAGGTGTATGGGTTTGTGTTCTGAATGTATTTTGTTTGTGTGTTTAATGTACGTGTGTTATGTACTTAAAGTGCGCCAATGTAATACTTAATGTGAGTCCACTCACACAATCGTACGAGAAATACAACCCGCACCTGATCCCTTCCCTTCTGCATAGTATCCCTTAATATATATCGCAAATTATGCTGTGCAACCGAATGCACCTTGCAAGGTGCATACGGTTGCAAAACGGCGCCGTTTTGGTTAAAAAAACGCGCGTCCCACTTAAAGAAGAAATCAAGTTCGATTCCCGGCAATAGCATTTTTATATATCCAGAAATTCATAACTATATAACCACAATTTCATAACTATATATCCACAATTTTATAACTATATATCCACAGTGAATGAATGAAGTAAAAATCCACAATGAATGAATGAATGAAGTAAAAATCCACAATGAATGAACTAAATATCCACAATATATGATTGAACTAAATATCCACAATGAATGAACTAAATATCCATACATTCATAACTATATATCCACAATTTCATAACTATATATCCACAGTGAATGAATGAAGTAAAAATCCACAATGAATGAATGAATGAAGTAAAAATCCACAATGAATGAATGAATGAAGTAAAAATCCACAATGAATGAACTAAATATCCACAATATATGATTGAACCAAATATCCACAATGAATGAACTAAATATCCATAAATTCATAACTATATAACCACAATTTCATAACTATATATCCACAATTTCATAACTATATATCCACAATAATGCTATTGCTGAGAGTCGAACCTAATTTTTTTTTTTTAAGTGGGACGCACGTTTTTAATCAAAACGACGTCGTTTTGAACCGTATGCACCATGCGCATGCTACATTCGGTTGCACAGCATAACTATTGAATATATATAAGTCCATCGATTTTGTAGACTCCTTTAAACTCACGATGGAATCAGCCATTTGACTTTTCATGATCTTTAATTTGTTACTTACCAACACAAGACACAAGGAAGTGGGCTTTCTTGTGTCTAGTATTTGCTTAATTGATAAGTAGGGTTCCTTGAGAGGAGAGAAAAGAACATACATCTCACCTTTCTTCATTACATATATAGGGTGCTGAGTAAAAATTATTTATTGATTATGAATGAAACATAATTTTTATATTAGTAAGTTACAAATTTAATCTTTTCTAATGATTAAATTTATCTTTTACACCAGACGTATTAATCATAACCAATAAAACGCCGCTCCTAGAATCTCTAAAAGTTAATCACAAGTTGCATGAATAGTCTTTTAATCAATCCCCGACCTTTCTATGCACATAAAGAACTCAATTCACATCATACTCTGATCTACTTTAACTTGGAAAGCCCAACTCCCCTTCTCGAAAAGTTGAATCCTTAACTCCAATGGTCCTTACACCCTGACCTGTCAGAGCATTTAGAATGATGTAAATCATGGTGATTTAATGACTCAGCAGATTTGATCAATTGCCGATGCGTACAAGAGATCTGATTACTTTAGACATAATCTCCCCTTTGAGATTAGAACCTTAAAGAAACATTTGGAAAGCCCAACTCCTACTAAAGGAGCTCATCAACTCCATGCCCAAGGGATCAATGACATTGTTATCAATCATATCACATGGGGAAGCATAAACTAATCCTTAAACCAAGTCATAGTTTTGCTAAACTATTGATGCCAGACCACTGCATGAGAGCATGTCTCCCTTTTGCCACTTCCCACCTACCCTATAAGCCAACCTTAGCTTTTAATCTTGTCTGGGCAATTAAATAAATGGAATACAAAAAATAACTACATTTTTATTTATATATTTTTATTACCTCATTATTTTACTTTTGGAGTTTTGGTGTTGTAAAATGTTTCTTTTTGTATTTTGCAATACACGTAAATAAATAATATCGTAATGCACATATAGGGTTTTGTAAAATAATCATTTGGCATCTTTAGAGTTATCCCGTTGATTAATTTCAAATTAATGACATTCGATCATTCACAACATGTATCTCCTCTCGTCATTATTCAATGATCTAAAGGTCATCATTCATGTCTCAACTAATAATTAGGGTTACTAAGAGACAAGATAAACGGTTGATAATTATATTACTAATTATCTCAAGGTTGTATGTTATAGCCTGTCATTTTTATTTTATTTTTTTGCTCTAAGGCGATACATACTTAGATTTTAATATACTTAAGCTTCTGAATCACCTCGTGTGAACTAAGTTGCCTTTTTCTTCCATCCATTAAGTACTTTAAAGCACCTACTTATAATTATGCATTCATCACAAAACTTTTTTTTTTGGTGGAAGAAAATTTGTAGTTACTATCCGAGAGTGTGCATTATATTGAGTAATTAAACTCTACTTCTACATAATAACTCACAAATCATACACAAGAGAAACATTGTATATTATCGTACAATAATGTAGTACAAAATTATTTTATATGGAACATATATATAGTTTGACAAGAAGATAAATGAATATTCAAACTATTAACCATAGTGTCACTGTCTACATTATACTCAATATATTTGATTTCTATATAATAATTATTTGTAAGCAAACATATTAACAAAAATTGGACTTTCCAACCTACTATTCAACTAATTATAGTTAGTTCAATTATTAAGGGCAAATTCACTACCAACAAGTCATTGATAAATGTATACTCATCAAACCAATGACCATTTAATGTCTCATTAACTTATATTAAGTAATGTCTATGTTAGGGTAAATGTCTATGTCATTCTATAATCTATATACGGAGTATATATTAGGGCCAATTGTTGTATGAACAAATTGAATCAATACCTTTGCATCAAATCTAGACTAAAAAAAATGAACCTAACCAAGTGAAAAGTTTTTTTTTTTTTTTAATTTTTAAATCATGTTAGTCAAACCAAGATTAGTTTGTGTAGAGATGGATTAATTGATGGCATGTTGTAGTAGTGTTGCAGTTGGTCAACTGGCCGAAGCCATGAAGAAGGGAAGACAACAACAATTAATTAAGCCACACAAATAAAATAAAATATTGTTAGTAGCAATAAATTAAAGAAAAAATATTTGTAGAAAAGAGAGAGAAGGGGATCGGATGAAGGACACTTTATTGCTTTTTTATGTTGCACGCATCCATGGCAGATGTCACAAGGAAAACCAGACTACTTCAACAACACTGCAACGCCGTAGAAAGAAGAAGAAGATAATAATAAAAGTTGGAATTTGTTTTTGCCAGATTCTTCTTCTTGGGAGGAAGAAAGCTGTTTTGTGGATAGTGAGCCGCCTACCTCTGTCCTGGATACTGTCAGCTTTTCCTCTTCATCTCTTAGCAGCGGCGGTGCGGCTGGAGGAGGAGGAGGTTACACGGCAAGGGTGGCGGCTGTTTCCGATAACCAGTCTTCCAAATGGCAGCAAGATAGCAACACTGCTACCAGCTGCGATATGGGTGGAGCTGAATCTGAGCTCCTACAGCCGGTTCCAGTGTTGTTGGAGATCAGCGGCGGAGCATCCGCCGTGGCACCGGAGAAATGTGTGACGGAGGAGTGGGAGCAGGAGCCGGAGCCGCTGCTCCGTTGGATAACGGGTGATGCAGATGACCCATCCATGGCTAATTTGAGCAAGCTGTTGCAGGGTGGCAACCAGGCAGAGTACGAATTCAACGGCGGTTTGGGGTTACCGGATCATAACCTTGGAGCTGACCAAGATTCCTCCTCCGGCAGTGGTTTCTTGCCCACTTCAAGTTTTCCGGCGAACCTGCAAACACCATCTTTTCTTTCGTTTCTTGATAGCTCAGATATGAAGCCACAGATATCCAATCTGCAACACTTGCAGAGTCCTTCATTTTTCATGCCACTGCCATATCCATATCAGAGTGAGAGTCAGAGCCTGAGCACACCACAGCCGGCGAAGAGACACAACCCCGGGACTCTTGGAGTCGCCGAAACAATCGACCATCTATTCAAAACCGCAGAGCTGATCCAGACAGGGAATTCAGTACTCTCCCAAGAGATATTGGCGCGGCTCAATCACCATCTCTCTCCTATCGGCAAGCCTTTCCACAGAGCAGCTTTCTACTTTAAAGAAGCCTTGCAATCTCTCCTCCCACATGCCACCAAACCCACTGTTCCATCTTCTTCACCGTTTAGCCTTGTTTTCAAGATTGGTGCCTACAAATCTTTCTCTGAGGTCTCACCAATGCCACAGTTTGCCAATTTCACCACCAACCAAGCCCTTCTTGAGGCCTTGGAAGGGTTTGACAGAATTCACATTGTAGATTTCGATATTGGGTATGGAGAGCAATGGGCTTCGCTCATGCAAGAGCTTGCCTTGAACAACGGCACCACACCTAGCCTGAAAATTACAGCTTTAGCATCTCCATTGAAGCAGGAGCAGCTTGAGCTTGGGATTATCAGACACAATTTGATCCAGTTTGCGAGTGAAATCAATATGGGATTTGAGTTTGAAACTCTGGGTGTTGAGCATCTGAATTCTTCGTCGTCGTGGTCAGACAGTTACAGTGAAGCCGCCATTGCTGTCAACCTTCCAGTTGGTTGGCTTTCAACAAACCAACAAGTATCACTCCCTTTGATTCTTAGCTTTGTTAAGAAGTTACAGCCTAAAATTGTGGTTTCTGTGGACACAGGCTGCGACAGGACTGACCTCCCTTTTCCCGACCATATCATCCACGCCCTTCACTCCTACTCCAACCTTCTCGAGTCTCTTGACGCTGTAAACATGAATCCCGACGCCCTGCAGAAGATTGAGAAGTTCATGATCCAACCAGGAATCGAGAAAACCGTAACTGCACGGTTTGATTCAGATTCTCCTGAGAAAACACAAACACAGCACTGGAGGACTGTTTTCTTGTCGTCTGGATTCACCCCATTCAGTTTCAGCAATTTCGCCGAATCGCAAGCTGAGTGTGTGCTGAAAAGAACTCCAGTTGGGGGATTTCATGTGGAGAAGAGGCAATCTTCTCTAGTTCTTTGCTGGCAGCGAAAGGAGTTGATCTCTGCATCTGCCTGGAGGTGCTGAAGACTGAAGAGCAGCAGGGTTTTGATAGTATCTCAACAGTTTCAATTATCTTTCTGGGTTAGGCAGATTGTTTCAAAGGTTAGGAAAGTAAATAAAATATGAAAATATTTCATGTAATGATACAATTGAAACTGTAAATTTATTTCTCTTTATATATGTATGTATATGCTTGCAAATTGCTCAACTTCTAGCCTGTACAATAATAGTGTTACATCCACTTTCTTAAACATGCCTGTTCATGTACAATCAATCTCATGAAGAAAAACGTACTCTATCACTTCTGTTCTGTATAGGATATTCCCATGTAAAAGGAAATAAGGATACAACCTGGTCAAGGTTTGGGTAAAGGTAAACTGATGATATCCTCTTCATCATCCCATATAGAACATCATAACAGCACCCGGATAGCTACAAAAATAACGGGATAAGGCAATTAACCAGAGAGAAGAGAAACAGAATTCATATTTAAAGCTGGGGGAAGGGAACACTTGGTGGAAGAATGGATGTTAAGGGAAAGAAAATGCACCATCTGAAATAAGGCAGTTCTTGAGCATGAAAGTGCAGGCACCACATGTAATCAGAAGCTAGTCTTGCTGCCTGATATTGATACCACAATTCAAGATGTGAGCAGTAAAGCCCAAGATGTCATGTGATCTGGGCATAGTAGCAAAGCGTACCCCACCAACTCGCACTGTGAGAAAATTAATCGACTAAAATAACTGAAATTTTCTCTCCAATCAGTTTCTTTCTCATTTTTGAATAACCACAGACTACAACGGATTCCAAAGAATGAAAACCTATAACTTCAAATTAATCAAATTGAATATGCTTCCAAGAAAGATAATATGGTTGAGCAGGGAGTACCAGTTAGACTGCCTGAGAGTGACTAGAACTTCTCCAGGTCTTCTTTACTTCCAACAACACTGGGAAGACATTACAGCCATGTGCAAGCAATAGGAGAAGGGTCATTTGGTGGAGGAGGTCAACCACTCACAACTCCAATATGCCGTCCATCCTACATCAAATTGTATTAGGATTCACAAAGGAGATCATACTTCAATATGTAGAAGGCTAAAGAGAACATTGATGAAACTGATAACAAGACCCTTTACAAAACAAATAGAGGGGGAAAAACTATAAACAGTTAATCTATCAGAGATCACTTCTTATAGACTAGGACTAGGACATTAGCATTATAGAATCTTCAAAGAAATCTACCCATGCTTGCCTCAGAAACATGGCGAGCTATTTAGCAAACATTTCAAGTATATTGTTAATCTCCTGATAATTGGAAACCCTCCAACTGCATAATGCTTGGAATAACTTTAGGAAGTAGCTTTAGTGAAGGCATTCTTGCACTCGAGTCATCATTACTAGGAAGCAATGTAATCTCGCTTTCCAAAGTAGAATAAGCATCAGCAAATGCCTGCAACAAAAATATCCAGTATGTTATGACAACATACCCTTGGATTTAGGAAACCATCTTTCTATTCTATTCTATTATTGATAAGAAACTTTAAATAGCAAGTCTAACCATTTGACTTGATGAAATCAGATTCATAGCAAACTGAGGAACAGTGGTTTTAAGAATATTTAACATTTTTCTCCTACCCACTTTCAGTTGGTGCAAGATATGAGCAGAGAGAGAGAGAGAGAGAGAGAGAGGGAGTTGTTGGTTGGTTTCAATATATGAGTTTAGGATGACAAGCTTTCACCATCTTGGCTTTATAGCTAAACCAATAACACAAGACCAGTACTAAGTCATTACATAATGGGAAGTACAGCGGTCCCCTTAATCCATTATATTGCATATAAGCATTCTCTGAAGCAGTGGCGGACCCAGGAATTTTTTTCAGCGGGGGCAAAATATTAAAGGAAAATTGAGAATTAGAAAAAAAAAAATGAAACACTTAAAATGTATAACCATAAATAATGTTGGATATAGGAAAATTATAAAACACATCAAAACATTATAGAAATATTCATAACAAAATATGAATATACTCAATTTGATAAAATAATTTGAATAAAAGATCCACTATAAATTACACATCTCATCTCATTATTAATATCAATGAAGATTAAAATGTGAAATAAAATGTCAAAAAAATTGAAAACAGACCACACGCTCAGCCACAGATTCGAACCCTGGCCTACCTTTAAGCCAACCATGCGCTCTGCCAACTAGGCTAAGTCACATTCTGTTATCATTTCTCTATTTTTTAATACTTATACTAAAACTTCTACTATATATACACATATACATACAAGGGTTATATAAGAGGTGGGGGTGGGGTGAGTGGGGGCAGCTGACCCCACTGCCCCCACTGTGGGTCCGCCTCTGCTCTGAAGTATACTGAACTCATGTGATTCCTACTGTTCTAGAGTCAATAAGATTCTACTCCATATGTAACGAAGGAAATTTAAAAAATCATGCCAATCATCTATACTTGAAAGAGAGAAAGCGAGAGATTTGTGCTCATCATTAAGACTAATCTACAAAATTCATATTCAAAGTCTCAATGAACTAAGTGAAAAAATATATATCAGCTAACCTTGATGCATTGATGTATACGAAAGCAATTCCGACCCACATTATTGGTGGGAAAAAGTGGGTCATCTATATAAATTGGATCAATGCTGCAAAAATTTGGTAGATCATAGTGAATAGAGATTATTAGGAAACTTTGCTTATCTCAAGCCTCTGCCGATAAATTAGAAGATTCTTTTGTTACCTGTACCCTCTTTCCCTATTTATGTATAAGCCGCTACCCTGTATCGAGACACGCATTTGACGAGGATCAAAAACATTCCTAACACAAAGAAAGCTTATCAACATCTCTGGTAAGAATGTATTCTATAGTTTTCTATTTTATCTTTTCATTTTGGAGGTTTCCTTTTTTAAGAGTGAGGATGGGAAAGAAATAAAATTTGGAAGAGAACTGCATCAACAGTTAACCATTATCTTCTTATGTTCCTTTTGGGGAACAGGTCAGCCAATAGCCCAATACCTCTCTCCCTCACTACCTTCAAGGTGGCCACTTTATTTCCTTTTGTCTTTAATAGTCATGACTCATGAGAAGGAGAGCAATAACTAATGCTACCAGAAGGAAAACAATGAAGATAATGTGCTACTGAAAAATCCATGATAATATAAAAGCACCCAACTTACCCAAAGAAATAGAGAAAATCCATCAGCAGGCTTCCATAATTCTACAAAAATTCAACGAAAGTTGTCAGCAATGCTAACACTTCAAGAATAAATTTCAGTGTTGAGGTAGTATTGTTAACACAAAAAAGCAGACAGAAGCTAATAATCCATCTAAATCTCACAATGTCATCGTCATTTATGCAAAGCCTATAGATTTTGGAATTACAATTATCCTTCTGTTTGAACTCATTAATAATGTTAAGCATATATTATTGCAGTTCCTAGAGGACATAAGACTTGTCACAATATCAACACCATAAACCTAGTTAGAACTGAGTAGAGAGAAAGGAGCCAACATTAAGGAGGGATCAAATAGTATAGAACTGTACTTGGATAGTGGAGCGACCATGATGATGCTCATGCTGCAAAAACCTTGTTATCAGTAATACCTGTCAAATAGTGAAGAAAAAACAATTATTTTTCTCCCCTAAAAAAGAATATTGCATGATTACCAAGAAAGAAAATCGGAACCAGCCAATCACATTGATGATGCAGATCTGTGAGATCTAGGTTAGAATATGAATCTGCTACATTTCATCCTCTTTCTGGTTAACTAATTAACATAAGATCAAATCTTAGGGAAGCAGATTTGTCTAAATGAAGTGGATTTCCCAGGTTCAATTTACACTGTTCGGTTTCACATTTTCATGGTTCAACAAAACAGTTTGGACAATTCATACAAAATAAAGCATTTTTTCCAAAGCAGTTTTGGAGACACACCTCACCAGAAAACTGGTCTATCAACTGTGTTCCAGTCTTACCAACTGGGCTTTTGAAAAAGTGGATTGAGCATAGGAGACCATAAATTTAGAAGTTCAGAAGAATGATAACTGCAGGAAATTTGTGGAAAGTTAAGCAACTACTACACTATCATTACTGACAATAGATACTTACCAGACAATAAGAACTTAGACCACCTGAATACGATTGGTCCAGACTTCGATCTGCCAAAAACTGTTTTAATACCAAAGCAAGAGGTTTTGCAGCAGGAAATTGTTCAGTAAGCTCTTTAACCTATCACCAACAGAAGAAAGGAAAGATCTCAAATTCATTGCAATTGAGTGAATTGACTAAGAGAAATAAAACCATATTAAAAATTGGTAAAATAACCCATTCAGCCTTTGATGAGTCAGGTCAAATAAAGACTAAGGAACCTCTCAACAAAAAGGAAGGACAATACAGACATGGACAAATATATGATACTAAACAGAATAACAAAGCAAGAAAAAACAAATATGATACAATATCTAAGTTCATCTCTAGGCAGATGAAGGATGTCCAATTGTCCATAGACAGTAGTTACCAGCTCAGAGGTCTGCAGTCCTGTATGTGATGGTGATTTGAAACTAATGTCAAGACGGACTGATTTTACATCCTTGCCAGAGTCATTCATCTTGGGCCATTTTGGTGAGGTAGAGCTCTCAGAACTTGTACCATCAGCCTGAAAAGGATTGCCTTCACTGATTGTCTGGGCTTCTGGTGTTTGGGAATGTGAAGAAGAGGAGGTAATGAAATCATGAGGAACTTCCACCACAAGCATAATAATAGGTATCTGGAAGGGGAACGTTACAACATTAGATTGGTATGCATAAACGTCTGAACATTTTGTAAACAGAGAGACAGAAGAAAAATGGGAGAACAAAGAACAAGCAAACTCAGAAAGGAGAAGGGGCATTACAGCAGTATTCTCCACAATCTTGAGGGAATCATTTTTAACCCACTCCTGGTTAGCAAGATATCTTGCTGCATGCTGCAGATTAACTCAGTGTCAAAATTACATCTCCAAAAAACAATATCTAAACCAAACTGGGTAATGATAAATGGGAATCATATTTTTTTAAAATGATTACGCAATTTTTTTTTTCTTGGGTGGTGGTCATTATCTAAACATCATATAAAATGAAAATACAACTGAGGAAGTGCCTGGAATCCAATGAGGATGGGCCGGCTCTCTACATTTTAGATTATATTATAGTTATGACATATTAAATATGTACATATTCTAACCAGCTTGGTTGGTGTGAGTGGCCGTGCACTCTCATCCATTAAGAGAGGTCCGGAGTTCGAACCCCCTCTCGTATGGAAAAACCAATATGGCCAGCACTTTGCCCCTTAATTGGGTCAGGCCGGTGTGAATGGAGATTAGTCTAAGTATGGTACGGGCTTAAAGGTGCCCCCTACAGTTAGGGCCTGCTCAGGACACCTCATGGTCTGACCAAAAAAAATATGTACATATTCCTTGTGAAGGTTTATCTTCCCAGGTTACAACCTGATAACCCAATGGCATGAACACTCAACACTAATATTTGGGGTAGTCAATTGATCTAACTATCCAAGGATGATATTGCTTCTGGTTTATATTTGCAGCCTATGTTCATGGAAAACTATTAAAGGAAAAGGAAAATGCTCATCATAAAGATTAGTGCTGCTTTATATTTGCAGCCTATGTTATGGAAAACTATTAAAGGAAAAGGAAAATGCTCATCAAAGGAAAAAAGAAAAAAAAAAATACTATTTCAAGCATCAATTATTAGTGATAGCACTAGTAAAGCAAAAGTCACATCTCATCATAAAGATTAGGCACTGATAGTTTGTACATGTTCTAAATTACCTGAAGGCATGTTTCTTTGATACCATTACGTCCCTCCAGGATACCAGCTTCTTTAATAGGTTCCTGGAAAATGACTGCCATGAGGCTTCCTCTTCTTCTTTTTTTTTTAACCTCCCCAGGAGGGGCAAAAAATGCCATAGTTAGCAAGATTAAAGGAAACAGAAAATAAACTCACCAAATTTCTAACTGGAGGAAGACAGACCACTAGGTCGACGTCACTTGAAGGAAGTGACAAACCTGTTGCATTTGAACCAAAGATGTTTGTCCTGGATCTGGGCCATAAGACTTGTAGAGACCGTGTAACACGCTTCACGGCCCAATTAATGTAAGGTTTCCTGATCAAATTCTCAGCAGCAACCTTAGGTATCATCATAGAGCATGAAATAAGTAATCAGGTACAAGTCATAGAAATAAAGGTCTGTGTCGAACTTCAATCAAATTACCAGCTGCTCAGAGTACTACTTAGCATCATACCTGTTTACAAAATGCATCAATTTCATCATGAAGGTGGTTGTGGATCAAACTGAGAGATGCCTTTTCAGCAGAGCAGTTTGGCATTTCAGGAGGTTGTACAGGAAATGAAACATCTGGCTGGAAATGGGAAAAGAAAAAAGGTAAACCCATTACCCCATAGAGAGGAGAGAAAGAGTAGGAACTTGCTGCAACAAAGCCAGCAGAAATAAATAAGATGTTCAAAAGATATTTACATGCTCCTGATCACGAGTTAACTGCGATAACGCAATTAGGTGATCTTGCAGTAAAGCTCCGGTCAGAGGCTGTGTTAACTGATGACCTGAAAAGCTTTTACTTCTCCAAGATGATGGCCAAACAACTTCACTCCCATCCATGCGTATACAAGCTTCTTCAAAGTTAATTCCGTCATGAAGCCAGCCCTTCATACCCCAATGCCTAGGACTGGTACTACCAGAGCGAACAGTTGGAACTCTGTGTCTTCTTGAATCACCAACAGGAGAAGGAGGAGGTAATCGAGGGGCACGTGGAACACAAAGGACCACAGGTGAAGGTGGCCTCTTGATCCGGGGTTGCTCTTGCCTATTGGGAGGAATGCAAGGACTTGTACGATCATGACTACGCCTAAAATCAGATCTTGATCTTTCCCTAGACATATTTGGGATGATAATTGGTCTTAGAATGGGGTATGGGAGTGTATCCCCAGCCTTTGTCTCACTATCAACAGACATATTGGACAAGGAAGCTGAAGCATTCTCCTCTCCCACTAGATCTGTTGGTGTCGATGAGGATTGAGGAACCTTGCCACTATTAACTTCACTTCCTGGTATAACGTAACTGAGAGTTCCAGAACCTAAAGGATCAAATGGAGAGCAAAAGGGAGTAGCAGAAGGTGAAGTCAAGCCATTTGTACTGTAGGAGGAAGAGAATGCAACCATATCATCAACAGCCCTACTCATATCTGCCTCTCGCCAAGCCCATGAACTATCATCTGAACTAAGAGAGGGAGGACGTGAAAAGCTGGTCCCCAGATAATCAGAAGGATCCCAGTACATCACACCACCACCAAAGTATTGATTATAATCGACTCCAGAAAGACCATGGACCTCTAACTCTTCTTCTGACATTCGGTGATTATCATGTTCATCACACACTTCCTGTGTATTTGTAGGATCAGAAAAATCAAAGAATTCACCAGAATACACCCTTTCATCATCAGCACTCATTGCTTTGCAATGAATGCCTTGTGTTGCCAAGTCCTGTTGAAAAGAAGAAGGTCTCCTTGAGATAAATCCAGTATCATAATTGCAGGTGACAGATGGAGTAACCCCATTAACACCACGTAATATAGGGGGCCAATCAAGACTCATTGCTAAAGGCCTAGATATAATTCCAGTACGCCCTGATTCAATTGAGGAATTTCTCACATGATGTACAGTACGTACATAAGATTGGTGATAATGACTTTGCCAGTTGTGACTAACATCCAGATGCAGTCTATCGGTGGCAGGTGGGAGATGTGAATTACCCGATGGGAAGTGGATAGGAGCTACACTGGGCCATTCATAAGAAAGGTAAGTTGAAGCATTTGCAGGCCCACTATTATAAACATCAATACTTCCACGCTCCTGACGTGAGAAGATTTTTGCTTCCTGATCACCAACATTGGTTTGCTTTCCCGTTACACCATGTTTCCTACCCTTTCTATTTATGCCATTACAATTTCCATTGCTCATATCATGGGTTACAAGATTGTTACCAAGTTCAATCACAGGTATCACAGAAGTTACACCAGAATTAATATTTTGATTTGTGGTTTCCAAGGCAACAGCTGAACTTTTATTTTCTACCATACTCTCTGTGGTCTGACAGAGCAACGAAGCAGGATTCTTGCTGCCTTCTGCACAACCAGTTGAATGACATCCCTTGGTGAGTTGTGCTGTACTGTCCATCTGCACAGCCCCAGAACAGCTTGAAATTGGTTCAACATTGTGATCCTCATTAGCAACAACTTTTGACGAATTCTCAACAACTGAATTTTCAGATATGCAAGCAGATGTTGTATCCCCATCTTCAGATAGAGTGGAAGGTCTGGCACAATTTATCTCACAATTGCCAGCTTCTGCTGAAATTTTGGAGGTAGGGTTTTTACGCTTACTTCTTCCTCTCTTCTTCCTAGAGACGCTTCGAACAGTATTAGTATTTTGCCCTTTTCCATTTCCCTGGTGATAGCCAACCAGTCACAAATTATTCACATCAGAAAAAAACATAGATGATCCATATTGAAAAGACACATACAACCGTGTGAAGTGTTGAAGGAATAGTGTCTCTATCAAAGTCCATCTGTTCAAGTTTATTATCCAAGCCACTTGATGTGCAAATATGTCCATCTTCACCACGGGCTAATCGAAATCCATCATCCTGGAAAGCAACCATTTATTTTTTTATTTTCTAAATCAGGACTGTTTATTGAAGCATTTATTCTTCACCAAATTACGGAGTCCAAAAGAATAGAGATATAGAGTGGTACCTGAGGAGATTTCATTAATGCAACATCATCTGTACTGAGCTTTGGAACAGGATTTGGCTTTTTAACTTTACGGTTCTTCCGGCTTTTCTTATTGTTGCCGGGGCCAACTTTCTCCTTGTTTTTCTTAAAAGAGGAATTTAATTTTCCATCATCTAGTAATTCAACTTTAGTACACTCGAGTGAGATAACCATAAGTACAACTCGCAACCTTCTTAATATACAATCAGAAATGGAGCTAATAGATTCTAAGGAGCTAAAGTACAGTCTCTCTCTTTCATAATAAGTATGTTGAAATTCAAATAACATGGTGGAAATATTCTGAAGAACAGATAAACCTCTAAGTATACAAATCAAGGATGATGGCATCCCAGACACCGATGTAGGGATTTTGTTCCATAAAGAACCTTCATCTGTCCCACTGAAATTGGCAGGGCATTCTTGATATGACGTAGTAGTGTTGCACCTAAATAGCAGATCAACTTCATTGCCACAGTGCCACACATTATCATCAAGTACATCTTTTCTTCCTTTCACAATCTCTGCAGCCTGAGATAATATAGGAGTCAAAATATTCAAGCCTGAAAGGTATAATAAGCAAAGGGAACCCTATATGACAATGTAGAACTACAAAAATTGAAGACGATACATCTCAAAATTCAAAGGGCACATGCAGCTGAATTTGGTAATCTCGCCCTAAGAATCTAGCATTGAATTAGGCTCCAATGAAGTTTCTTCAGCCATAAGCCCACATCCACAACGGCCCAACCAAAAGACTATATGTGAATTCGTAATCAATTAATTTCTTATTGATCCGGCATGTGCAATTTCTACCCAAAAAGAAAACAAAATCAAATCTTTCCTTTAAAGAATAAGGTACATTTCTGCTCACACCTCCACCTAATTTCGATTCAAAGCATTTGAATCCTGTTAGCTCTCACTCCTCATAGTTAAGAAAGAACTAAAAGTGAATAATTCAATCCAAAATGTTGGCATGAATCTCATTCAGTGGATATCCAAGAGATTGAAATATTGTATGATTATAATTTTGACAATTGTAAAAAGGAAAAGTAGATGCATTATGCATAAACAAGAATGAGCTCCTAGCATGAGTACCAGAGATTTGGCCAATTTCCCCAAAGCTGTTTTAAACACCTTCCCTTTTGTTGCTTCGTCCAGCTTTTCCCACCAGTCTATACACCCCTTCTTCCTCCAAAATGTATTTGCAGCTACACCGGCAAAATTAACTTTATCTTTCAACTTAACACCTCTCTTCTTACCATTAGTGCAATTCAACCACGACAACCTTAATGTCACCTCCAATCTATTTGCCATAAATGCCTCAACACTATAATACCCTTTCGCCTTCAACCAGTCCAGTTCCACCCATTCCGAGCCAATACAGCTTTCCTCCCCCCTCAAAAACCCCCCGTTTGAAACGCCATCCATAGCCCCCACAAACGTATCCACGCTCCCCACAAGATCCTCGCTCACAGTTAAAGAATCTAAACAATTAGCTGAACACGAACACGCATCGATCCCCTCCCCTTCTTTCGAGTCAAAAAGCCGAACAGCATCTCGAATCAATCTCTCGGCCTCATTGTTCTCCGCAACTCGAGATAGCAGTCCATGTGACTTCCGAAAACAGACGCTGGGAAGACTGCTACCTGCGGTGGCGGTGGTCGTGCTGTCGGGAATATCGGGGAGGATAATGAAGACCCCATGGCCGTTGGATTTAAGCTTGCGGAGCATCCGGAAGAGGAGTTGCGTGAAATTGGAGTCGACGGTAGTGAGATAAGCCTGGCGTTGGTGAACCGTGAGAGATGAGAACCATTTTAGAATGGATGATCTGGGATTAGGGTTAGAGGAAGTGGCGGAGTGTGAATTGTAGAGAGAAATGTGGGAGGTGAGTGAGTCAATGAGCTGCTGTTTGGAAATTGTCATGTTATTGCAGAGGAGATTAGGTTTCGAACACCGCATTTATAGTCGGCCTGGCTGCGATGTTGGTGATCGGTTTTGCAGAGAATTGAAAATGGAGGGAGAGAGAGCGAGCGAGCGAGCTAATTGAACAAGGAAGACAACCGAATGATTGCGGTCCGAGTGCTATGTCTTTTTTGTTTAATTGCCATATTTGGCATACATTATATTTTGATTGTTCTAGACCGCAGGTTAATTATTTAATCATTTTATTATTATATTTATTTTTTAGAGGGCATAGTCTCATAATTTTAGTCGGCAGTTAATGACAACTCTCACAAGGAATTAAATTTAAAATGAAATTTTATAATTTGCAAGCTAACTATCAAACTAACTTGAGTAAAATCTGAAATTGTGGGAAAGAGTTTTTTCGAAATGCTCTCTAGCCAACGGTCGGAGGAGGATCGCGATCTCCTTGAGCGGAGTACGAAGAAGCACAAACGTTCTTCCGGGGAGCCGGCGAGATAAGGGATGGACGGGGCAGATGATGGAGACGAGCGGGCAGATGTGGATATTGTTAACGAAACTCCGGTGGAGGAGATGGTAGAGGGAGATGCGGGCGATGAGGATGATGTACCATCTCTAACGCTTCCTGTTTCTGTGCAGGTACCCATGACGTCCCAGAGGACTTACGCGCAAAGTGTGACAGGCCAGGCGATTCCACCCAGCCTACCTATATGTGAAGAGATGGACGGGAATCCAGAGGAGATAGGTGACGAGGAGGAGGACGATCCGTTGTGCCCCACTATTCGAATGACACAGGAGGAGCTAGACATGATCCGCGCACCGTGGAGGCAGACACTCATCATCAAGGTGATGGGCAGGCGTGTTGGGTATGCGTACCTTCTCCGGAGACTAAATCTGATGTGGAAGCCAAACGGAAGCATGGATCTCATTGCCATCGCGAACGATTACTTTCTCGTACGTTTTGGGTCGAAGGATGATATGGAGTTTGCAATGTTCGAAGGACCGTGGATGGTGATGGACCACTACCTCATAGTGACACCATGGGAGCCTGATTTTGATCCATACACCGCTAACACGCAGAAAGTTCTGGTATGGGCTCGCATACCTTGTATATCTGCTGAGTACTATAACATTATATTTCTTAGGAAGTTGGGGAATAAGATCGGAAGATCAATCCGAGTGGATCAAGCTACAAGCTTGGTGTCGAGGGGAATGTTTGCCAGAATCTGCGTGGAAGTCGATATAACGAAGCCTCTTATATCGAAATTCAAATACAAAGGCCAAGTCAGATCAGTGGCGTACGAAGGTATCCACTTGGTGTGTTTTACTTGCGGCGTCTACGGCCATGCGCCAGAGACGTGTCCGACGGTCCACAAGCCAGCACCCCAATCGGAGACTGGTAACGGTGAGGAGGCAGCGGCACAGACTAAGGAGGTGGCAAACAGAGCTATGGAGAACCAAAAGATCCAGGTCGGAGATGCACCTTTCGGGGAGTGGATGATCGCACCTAGCCGGCGCCCGCGTAATAGAGCTCCACCAGCGGGTAAAATCCAGAAGGTTTCAGGGGACAGAGGCCAGCATATGCACGCAATAAAGGATGGAGGAATCCAGGTATCTAGATTTGCACCTCTATCTTTTCAGGGGGATGATGGGGAGAATGCAGAGGAGCGAGTAGAGGCGGGTGATGATGATGTGCGACCAAGCGAGGATAGAGTGAATGCAAGGGAGGAGGCAGTTTCACGTAATCACACGCCAGCACCGGTGCTGCATGGGAAGCATAGGAGGCCGAACGTGATTGCCTCGGGGAAGCAAATCGAAAATTACCCAAGTGAGGCGCGGAGACCACCGGCAAAAGGGGGAGTATCATCTAACAGAACCCGGCGGGAAGGGGCGGTAGGAACGAGACGTGCAGCAGAAGAAGACGAACACGTGGTCATAAGGGGAGAGCAAGGCGGACTAGTGATCAGTTCTTCAAGGGTGTTTTTGGGTGAGACAGCTGGGGATCTACCATCTCCAGTCTGGCAGACTTCCAAAGAACACCACGCTGACCCGCCGGAGAACCTAGATGACGAAGGAGACGTGGTCATGGACCATGATGGGCCTGGTGCGAACCGTGAGCTCGAGAGAGCACACAACGTTAGATGAGTGTGCTGGACCTTGGCCTGCTGTGTTCTTTTTCATGGTTTGATCTTTCCTACTCCCTTTCTTGTTTTAAGTTTTATGGATTGTCTCCTTTGGAATTGCCAAGGGGCGAGTGGAAGACGTTTCCTTCGTACCCTTAAAAACCTGCTACAAATGCATAAACCTTGCATTTTGGGGTTGTTTGAACCAAAAGTGTCAGGCTCGCAAGCCAACACCATTTGTTCACAGTTAGGGTTTTCCGACTGGGTCCGAGTCGAAGCTTTAGGTTTTAGTGGGGGTATCTGGGTCTTTTGGAAAGACCCGGTACAAATTAACGTGCTTTTTACTCATCCGCAATTTATTCTCTTGCAGGTTACTAAAGGGGGACTCCCACCATGGTTTTTTGCTCCGGTTTATGGGAGTCCGGCCCACCACCTCCGACGTCGTCTTTGGCGCGACCTCAGACAATCAAATAGGTCTATTGCGAGACCTTGGCTGGTGGCGGGGGACTTTAATGCCGTTACACAACGGGAGGATACTATGAACTATGCCTCCTTCTCTTCCCAGCGCAGCTCGGATTTCGTTTGCTGGATTCAGGAGGAGGGGCTTATAGATCTGGGTTTCTCTGGACCGAAGCTGACTTGGGTCAAAGATGGGACAAGTGACCGTATCGAGGGCGCCCGCCTGGACAGGGCCATGTGTAACACGGGTTGGAGGATTACCTTCCCAGAAGCATATGTCACTCACCTTCCTCGTGTTGCGTCGGACCATGCCCCGATTTTGATTAAAATTGAAGGAGATAGGCAAAGAACCACGCCGCTTCGGTTCATGTTCCAGGCAGCCTGGCTCACACACCCAGATATGCGAAAGGTAGTGGACCAGACTTGGAATAACGCCAGTGAATTTCCAAGCAATACTTTGTCCCTAGCGAATAAGCTAGCGGAATGGAACAAGTCTGATTTTGGGAATATTTTCAAACGCAAAAGGACTCTTCTTGCCAGGCTGGGGGGTATTCAGAGCAAGCTAGAGGGGGGCTATCACAAAGGTCTGATTAAGCTGGAAGTGAAGCTCCGGGAAGAACTAGAAGACACCTTGTACCAGGAGGAATTGCTATGGTTTCAGAGGTCTCGCGAGGATTGGATAGTGTCAGGAGACAGAAACACCGCTTTCTACCATGCGGCCGCAACTATCCGTAAGTCCAAGAACAAAATTCTGGGGCTGTTAGATGACCAAGGGACATGGATTACGGAGGAACATGAGATCAAAAATCTCGTTCAGAATTTCTATGCCAATCTTTTCGCCAGAGATGATGACGATCTTTTGAGGGGCGATCTTGGGGCGGCGTTCCCCCAGCTACCCGATATTGACTGGCACATGTTCAATAGACAAGTCACGAAAGAAGAGGTCCACAAAGCTCTCTCAGACATGAAGCCTTACAAGGCCCCGGGGCCTGATGGTTTCCCGGCAGCTTTCTATCAACAAATGTGGGAGGCCACGGGCGATGCAATTTTTGAGATGGTCCACAAGGCTATTTCTACAGGATATATTCCAGAAGGCACGAATGATACTCTCATTGTCCTGATTCCAAAAGTGACAGCCCCTGAAAATATCAGGCAATTCAGGCCTATCAGTCTCTGTAATGTGAGCTACAAAATTATAACTAAGACTATTACTAACAGGCTTAAGGCGGTCCTGCCAAAGCTTGTGGGGCCTTACCAAAGCTCTTTCGTACCGGACAGGCAAATCACGGACAATATTATTATATATCAAGAGGCAATGCACACCATGCGTATCAAAAAAGGAAATACTGGACTCATGGCCATAAAGCTGGACCTGGAAAAGGCTTATGATCGTCTTTCTTGGGATTTCATCCAAGAAACCCTCGAGAAAGAGGGTTTTAGGGAGGATTGGACTAGGGCTATCATGACCTGTATCCGCACGGCCAAGTTATCCGTTGCTTGGAATGGTGAGCGGCTTAATCCGTTCAGTCCTGGACGAGGTATCCGCCAGGGAGACGCAATGTCCCCCGCCATTTTCGTACTCTGCATGGAGCGTCTCAGTCAACTCATTGCCTCGGAAGTCGGTAAGGAAAATTGGAAAGGTGTTAAGTTTAATACTAACGGTCCTATCCTGTCTCACCTTTGTTTTGCAGACGACATGGTCCTCTTTGCGGAGGCCACTTTTGCGCAGGTGGAGGTCATTCAAGCGTGCCTGGAGAAATTCTGCAAGGCTTCGGGGCAGAAAATCAGCTTGAGTAAATCTCATGTTTTCTTTTCACGCAATACTGATCCAGCCCGAGTAGAAGCCTTAGCTAGCAAGCTTGGCATCGACGCAACTGAAGACTTAGGGAGATATCTCGGTGTCCCGTCTCTTCATGGTCGCGCCACGTGCAGCACATTCTCCGGACTTCTGGAAAGAATTTCAGCGCGCCTAGAAGGCTGGAAGGCGAAGACGCTTACCACAGCGGGAAGGTTTGTGCTCGCTAAATCAGTTTTGAATGCAATACCTGCCTATACTATGCAAACGGCATACCTCCCTAAAAGCGTATGCATGGAATTGGAGAAAAGAACCCGGAAGTTCATCTGGGGGTCCAATAGTGAGGGAAACAATAAAATGAGCCTCATTAACTGGGACATGGTGACCTCCGAAAAAGAAGTCGGGGGACTAGGACTCAGGCGCCTGCATGATCTTAATAAGGCCTATATGATTAAACTAGGATGGAGACTCAGATCTGAGCCATCCAGCTTATGGGCTAGATTTTTTGAAGCAAAGTACGCAAGGAACGGGGTCTTTAGCACAACGGACGTGGATAGGAAGAAGACTTCTAATGTCTGGAAAGGGATAACTGCTACATGGGGACTTATGGAAAATGGACTGATCCGTTTGGTACGCAACGGGAAATCCACCAGGTTCTGGATGGACAGCTGGCTAACTCCGGCACCATTATATGATCAGATGCTTCGTCCTATCGGCCTTCCGGACCTGTACGCTTATGTGGCGGACTATTGGGATAGCAGTCATGGGTGGAAGTGGGACAAACTGGAACATGTTCTACCACGAGAGACGATGGAACGGTTGGCGAGTGTACTGTTGGCGGGGGACAGTGTGCCAGACAGGCCAGGCTGGGGTTTGACGGAAAGTGGCAAGTTTTCGATCAAATCGGCATACGAACTGGTTAAGCAAACCGGGACGACACCTTCTGACCCGGACTGGAAAATCATTTGGAAGCTCCGTACGCCGGGGAAAATTAACTTTTTCTTGTGGCTGGTTAAACATGGGCGAATCCTAACTAACACTGAACGAGTCAGAAAACATATAGCGACTGATATAAATTGTTTCCGTTGTGCAGGTATGCCGGAGGATCTGCACCATCTCTTCCGCCGATGCCCGATAGCGAGGGAGACTTGGGAATCCGCACTCCCAAGGCGTATAGTGGAGCGGCTCAGTGGACTAAGCTGGCACGATTGGTTCGCTGCGAACCTGAGGGCCGAGGCTAGCATGGGGTTTGATGTGGGATGGCCTGAACGTTTTGCCATCCGGCTCTGGTGGCTGTGGAGGTGGCGCAATGATGAAGTCTTCCGGCAAGTTACGACTACTTTAACACAACGGAGAGCCTGGATTACGAATTACGATGCGGAGGTCAGTGCGGCTTTTGCGAGAGGCAGGCCATCGGGTAGGCACTCTAACCACCTTCATGAGTCCGCCGTGGCTTGGGAGCCTCCTCCGCAGGGCTGGTGGAAGATAAACGTCGACGGATGCAGGAAGAATAGTGGCGAAGCCGGGTGTGGAGGTATCTTGCGTGATCATACAGGGGTCTGGCGCGGAGGCTTTATGTGCAACATCGGGAGGGGGAAAATTGAAGAGGCAGAATCTTGGGCTATCCTACAAGGCATCAGGCTTGCAAAGAAACTGGGGGTGGATAAGCTCATCGTCGAAGGTGATGCAATCGCCATAGTGAAGAGCATTAAAATGGGTGACGCGACTCGAAATAACATTATTGGACATTGCTTGTGTGAAGCTGTGGACCTGGCGCAGGTGGAATATAAGCATGCGTACAGAGAGCAAAACAAGGTGGCGGACGCCCTTGCCACGATGTCCATTTCCAACCAGATTGGCCTATGTGTTTTGAGAGACGAGCCTATGGATCTTCGGGATGCCATTCAAAAGGATCGTGTCGGCGCTAAGTACCCTCGCAAGGCTCATCGAGGGAGAGATAATTTGAACGTCGCTTTTTAGGCTTCGTTGGGTTACACCCTCTTCTTGACCAAAAAAAAAAAAAAAATCAAACTAACTTGAGTGACGTTATTAAATTTTTCTTTATTTTTCACACGCAAGCTTGCAACTTGTAGTTTTTGTTGTCAAATGGCTCTTTTAATGCTATGTGGTAGCAGTTTTGTACTTTTAAAATTTAAGTACTGTTTATTTATTGAAAATATATTAATTTATTATTGTAATGCGAAAGGGAAATCGCTATGAAAAGTAAGAAAGTATTGTATTGATGTAGAAAAATGTAAAATACTACTCATACTTCCAACTTTGACTCCTTCTCACAAATTTTTTATGTTGACATTTTCATTGAAACTCACATGATGAAAATAACTAATCATTAATTGTCACATCAGATAATGGAAGTGAGAACTTGTGGCCGAGACCGATTCAGAAGCCATGCTACAAGCCTTAGAGAATACGTCACGTTCCAATCCATAAGTTGATACACTTATTTCTGATTGCAAATTTCTCATAGCTCAGTTTCTTGATATCAAGGTCAGTCACATCTTCCAGGAAGGCAATTGTGCCGACTTCATAGCCAACATGGGGCAGTTAAGCGATTGAGGTTCTTCCATCTTAGACCACCCCTCTGGCGGTCTGCGTGGTTTTTTTTGATCGTGATGCTCGCAACATTGCTACCAGCAGGCTGCGTTAATCCTCGGGACCTGGAGGGTCCCTCCCTTTCACAAAAAAAAAAAAAAAAGATAACGGAAGTGAGAGAGTATAAATATGGAATACATGTAGTGTGACTCATGAAAAATAATGAGAATTTTGTGAATTTGATGATGTGGATGTATGCAGTCCACATTTAAAAGTGTTATGGATAATAATAACCTAAGAGGCTTTGATTATTGACTTTAAGTATGGACTAATGATAAACTAAACGTGACAATTATATGGAGGGGGTCAATGCAATGGAAATTGTGGGGTGGGTTATAGAAAGAACAATGTTGGGGCCAATGCGGCGACATATAGAGGGACTGGAGACGTGGCAGGAAAGGAATTGACATATTTTGATAAAAACATGAGTTAGCGTCATATGGGTTCTTCTGAATATAGTGATTTTGTCACGTTTAGTCTTAAACTTTTAAATTGACTACTATTGATCCTTCGACTTTTAAATTGTTATCATATGTGATCCAAGTTAACTACCCATGGTCATTCAACTTTACAAAATTAATCAACCATGGTCTTCCTGTTAGGACCATGTGTTGTTCAAAGTTGATAGTTAAATGACCATAGGTGATTAACTTGACCACGAATGATAACAATTTGAAAGTCGAAGGACCACGACTGGTCAATTTAAAATATTATGACTAATCAGAAAACTCCATATGGTATTAACTCTAACTCGAAAAATAAATCTCTTGAAGACTATATGTCAAATATGAGTGTAAACCAAGGGAATGAGTGGACCGGCCATAGAGAGGCACCACCGGGAATGGTCGGATGGAAGTGTTCATCTACAATAATAAGATTGGCATTACTTGTGCTCGTAGAGTGAGAGAGAGAGAGAGAGAGAGAGTATAACCTCTCTTGTTCAGGGTCTCCCCTCATTTTGATTATTTAAAAAAAAACATGACAGTTAAAATGAAACAAGAAAAGTATATTACTTAATATTCAAAATCCTAATATACTCTTGATTAACACAATTGATTACTACGTATTTGCTAATTATCAAACACAACAAAATGTATGTATCAACAAAATAAAAGAGTTATCCCAAAAGTCGAAAGGAGTGACTTAGCGAATTGAGCATAACTCTTACACATGAAAATCAACAATTGAATTATTGTTAACATCCTCTTACATTACAATTTACCTTTTCTTTATTTTGTGATTTACGAGTTATTATATAAGAACAAAGTTTACTCGTGTACATTTATGTAATTTTGTGGGCTATATATATCGCAACAAGGGTTACTAAATGCACACCCATTGTAACCTATCCCTTGATTTACAAATTTGACACATAAAAATAATTTACCCAATACACAATAACACAAATATAGGTACTGCGAATTTTCTCAAAAATAAAAAATAAAAAAATTGTTACCATGTAATTGCTTGACACCATTCCACCCTAAAGAGCAAGGCCCCATGAATTGGATCCTGTAACGACAGTAGAAGGGAATCGCATGGAACCCATGGATCCATCCCAGAATCCTCATCGCCCGGAGCAGATTTCCTCAGAATCATACAACACACTCTCGTCTGTACAAATCCAAGCTCCCTCGTATACATACGAACCCGATCAATCAACCTATGCTTACTATCCGCCCTCCTATCAGTACGTATACTACGATGCTGCGCAGCAAGCGGCCTATGACTACTCCACTGCCTATTACCAGCAGCCCCAGCAGGAACCAACCACCTCTACACACCCGCCCGCGGCACCGTTTCCGCCGCAACCGCAATCTGACCCAGCAGCCGCCGCCCAGTACCAGTATTCTTATTACCCCCCGCCGCCACAACCTCAGGGAGTGGAATATGGAGCAGTGTACGGATCCGGGGCTGCCATTCACACTGGGACCTCCGCCGCTCAGGTATGGTTTTTTATTGTATAGCTATGTAATTTTGTCGTGATTTGTTGATGAGGCAATTTAGGTATTTCGTTTTAAGATGCAGATTTGGGTCTGGATTGTGATGAGTCTGATACCGGACTTGAATTTAGAATACTGTTTTGGTGTTTCAGATTGAAAGTTTTGATATAATTCTATTGGAATGTTCCCATAAAAAATTGGAACTTTGGATTGAAATGTGTGTTTATGGAATTCCACTCATCATCTGAGATTTAAGCAACCTCTAATTTCCCCTTATATTGGGTATTAACATCTTGAGAATTGAATGGAAAAGAAGGAAATATAAAATAGTAGAGCAAGAGAAGGAATGAAGGATTAGGAGGAGATTCAACTTTGGTTTAATAGGTTGTCTTCCTAATCATTTGCTGTCCTTTTGTTTGTATAAACAAAACTGTTGAGCTTGGTATCGTTGTTTCTCATACAAGCTGAGTCCTGCAAAAGAGGAGTGGAACTTGAGCAATCCATGTGATGACTATTCTGCTCAGCTAATTATACAAGATGCCATATTACTCTAAATGAGCTTGTTTGGAACCTGGAAATCAATTGTCTGTTCATAAGAAGTGTATCTTTTCTCTTCAAAGACTTAGGGGCATAATTAGCTGAGCTGAATGGCCAATATATCTGCTAGAAAAGCTGAACAAAGTGAGCATGTGTCTTGGCAACTGAGTGCCTCAAGCTCACACTCAAGTGCAAACCAGCTTGCATATTGTCAAAAACCAAGCTTGAACAGCCTATTACATGGCTCAGTTTACTTTTTTCCCTTACAATCCTACTTAAAGTTTTCTTTGTCCTTTGCAGAAATGGTTAGTCACAAGAGTTGGAATTCACTGAAGATTTTGATGGTGTTTGAGATGGTACAGGCGCAAAACACAGTTATAATTCTATTGGAGTGTACTCCAATTTTACTTTTCTTTTGTTTCCCTCCAACCAACCCACTTCTTATGTGGGTGCGTACTTAGGGTGACTGGATTTGGTTTCATCAGTCATTGCTTCAATATTGAAATATTTAATTCTGGGCTTCTGTCAAGTTGCCTTATGAACCATAAAAACATTCAATCAAGTGTTGCAATGAATGTTGGACCTCATTCTGCAGAATATAACATTCGATATTACCTCAAGTGTTTTTTTTTTCTCTGGTGACAGAAGTCATGATTAGGGAGATTCTGGGTTCCCTGGAATTCTTTTGAGCATATTGGCTATTGCATCACTCCTTTTAGGTCTCACAACCCCCCTCGCACTTGAACTGTTACAATTGGTGGTTGAGAGTTAAAAGTTATATTTAGCTAGGATTTTTTATTTTTTAAATCTTTGCACATCTGGCTGTACTTTATGGCCGAAGGTTGAATATTATATCTAAGTAGAGTTTACAGGGAAGGGATGGTATTTGTCAAAATACCTGACCTAAAGGGTACAAATTAAATAGGTATCTGTTTTTGCTGGATAGTTGAAAAAAATCATGTGGTGTGTAGGTGCTATAATCTTACTCATGCAGGTAATGTCGAGGAACTGATGGCCATTACATAGGAGTCTTTGAAGTTTGAGCCATTATGTATGTTAATAGTATTGCTTTGGGAACCAATTGGAAGCATTGATTTTGCCATTTCAGTGGCGGTGTGAAGGGGAACTGAAATAAATGCATTTTCACATTTTAATGATTTGATTTTTTTTTCTTCATTTTGTGCTTGCCTGGTAGTGAAGGTTTTATGTCATAACACTTGTATAATTGTATCAATAGAATGTTGGCAAGCCAAGTACGAGTTCCATATCCTAAAATGTACTTTTCTGGTTGTCACTAATCTCTCATGACTAAGTTTTTTTCATTACTCAAGTGATCTTCCATTTTGGTAGGATATTACTTTTTCCTTATTGGTTTCATGGACTCCAAGACTTCGTGTTGAGTTTTACTGAGTTGAACAGTTTAAACTGGTAAATGTGCTTATATTATGAATTGTGACTGAAAACTCACCAGATAACTATTGATAGATTCCTTGTTCTTTGATCATTATTGTTTGTTTTGATGCTGTGAAGTTCTCTCCATTCTATTAATTGTCACTATATATCTGGACACATGATTTTTATGTTATCTCTATTCTTTAATTTGTATTTTGTCATTTTACAGATCTTGCAACCTTCACATAGAGGCAGAGGTAGAAGAGGTGGCCAAATCTTCCGAGGAGCTGGCCGTGGCCGTCGGGGTCAGGCTCCGCAACCTCCTGCTCCAGTCTGGCCGCCTCGTATGGCATGGTGCGAACTCTGCAGGGTTGAGTGCAACACCCCCGAAATTCTTGAACAGCACAAAAATGGAAAGAAACATAAAAAGAACGTGAAAGTTCAGGAAGAGTTGCAGAGAGTAATGGCTGCGGGACACAATGTGCAGCCAACTAGTTCTCAAGTTCAGGCAGAAGTTGCGTATCAGCCTAAAGCAACAGAGGGATCTGAGGTGCCGCCCGAAGGGAATTTATCTATCGAGACTGTTAATGGAAGATCTGAGCAGCAACCTCAAGAGAATTTGCCATCCCAGGCTCTTGGAGAAGAAAACAAAGCCGAACCTGAGCTTCCAAAAGCTGAATCAACAAGAGATCCCGGAGAGAGTCAAGGACGTGGGCCCAAGCGCAAGACAAGTGGTGGTCCTGGTGGACGAGGGGGCAAGAAATTGAGATCTCATGACGGAAGAAGAAAACCCGCTGAGCCTCCTAAACCTAAACAAATCCCTTTAATATGTGAGCTCTGTAATGTTACGTGTGAGTCACAAGTTGTTTTCCAAAGTCATCTGCAGGGAAAGAAGCATATATCAAACCGGAAACGCTTCGAGGATTCACAAGCAGTGCTTGGACAAGCAGCAACCCAAGCATTATATCCGGCTCTACAACCAGTTTACCCAGCACTTCCCCAACCTAACCCAGGTCTGGCTACTCCATTGGATCCTAATCTTCAGCAGCAAAATATTCCTGGTGGTCAGGCCTTTTTGACTCAACCGGCACCTTCTCTCCTCCCTCAAGGTCAAGAAGCATCAGCAGCAGCTTTGCCGCCTCCCATGTTGCAGTCTCTGGACCATCAAGATCCTAGTCCTCAGTTTCAAAGCCAGTAGATGAAGCCTGTGCCCAGAAGTAATGACCCCTTTGTTTCAGGGTGAGCCTTAGAAAAGAGAATTGCTACCAAGAAAGAATTCAACTTCTAGGGTCATTTCACTGATAACTAACTTACTAGTGTGTCCTGATTAGATGGTGGTCAGATTCTTGTAAGGAGCTTGCTACTTCTGGTACAGCCAAGATGGAACTTCATGTAACAGTGTTGTTAGATACAGTGTGAATGTGGCTTCTAGAGTCTTTTCAGACAGCATGGGAAAATAATTAAGAGTATAAAAGCCACATATAAGTGTTATTTAGTCATAGGAACAACAATTTATCGTAACACGTTTTAAGAACTTCTCAAATTCTCCCAAGTAACATATTTTTTCAAAACTTTTACACTTCTTTTACAAGAAAGTCCACAACTGCTATCCAACCAAATGTTTAAGTGACTATAAAGAGGTAAACTACATAATTGACTGGCCTTTTTTTAACACTAAAAACATACATAGTTGATCTGCCCAAATCAAGAATGTCCATGTTGATTAGCGCAAATCAAGAATGCCCATATATCTATGTTGATTAGCGCAAATCAAGAATGCCCATATATCTATGTTGATCAACGCAAATCAAGAATGCCCATAGCTAATCTGCTGCTGATCGACTCAAATCAAGAATGTTCATAGCTAATCTGCTGATCGACTCTAATCTGCTGCTGATCGGCTAAAATCAAGAATGTTCAGCTCAAATCAAGAATGTTCATAGCTAATTTGCTGATCGACTCTAATCTGCTGCTGATCGGCTAAAATCAAGAATGTTCATAGCTAATCTGCTGCTGATCGGCTCAAATAAAAAATGCTCATAGTTGAATGTCCATAGCTAATCTGCTGCTGATCGGCTCAAATCAAGAATGCTCAGTTGATTAGCTTAAACTTTGAATATTGTGGTTACTAAGTGTAAACAATCCCTACGGTGAAAACATGTTAATTATATAATAATTGAAGCTCAATCATTCATTGCTGTAATGAGGTTCAACAAAAAACAGCATGAGAAACAACAGAAAACTCTGATCTATATATCTAAATAAAGTTCATCCTTTTAGATAACAAATGTTATGGTTAAGTCACACAATTGTAACCATCTTTCCATGGGCGTTTCTACTCTAAAAAGCAATAACTTTGGTTGTCGAATAACACAGCAAGCAGGAAGATGCAGTGAAAACAAGTTGCAGAAAACACTTATTTGGTAGAAGGGGAAAGCAAACAAGTTGAAGCTGAAGCTGCGGTGAAATGTGATCTCTTGTGGCCACCCAAAGCTTGGCCAGAAGAAAACACTCTGTAGCAGAAAGGGCATTCATGGAGTTTCTCCTCCACATCCCCATTATTCTCCCCTACAAGTACATTTTCATCATCATCACAGCGCTTGATGATCTTCTTATGGCTGGCTCTGTGACCCCCCAGCGCTTGATAAGATCTAAACACTTTCCGGCAACTCTCACATCTGTATTTCTTCTTGCCGTTCGCCGTCGTCTTAACCTCGCCGGAGCCCGCCGGCTGGGAGCTCTCTTCGTCAGCCCACTTGTCTCTGGACAGCATCATCAAGCAGTAAGCTCCGTCTTCTTCCGGCGAGTAGTCCGAGACTGAACTCACCGCCTCCGTCTCGCTGTCGTCGCCGGCGGCGGCGGCGGCGGCAGTTCTCTGCATGTAAGGATTCCAGACGTGAGATCTCATATGCCCACCCAAAGCTCTACCGTTCACAAATTTTTTTGAGCAAATCCTACACTTATGTTCCTCCATTTACGAGAAAACAACAAACAAAACTGATAAAAATCAAGAAATTATCTCTCCGGTTTCTTGTTTTCTTTACTCAGTTCAAGTGTCTGTTTCTTTGAAGAAGTGTAAAGAGAGAGGGAACTAAGGAGTAGGTGACAGGCAACAGCCATTCCTCTTTCCACTCCTACAGCTATATATATATAATAATTTCTCAAAAAAAGAAAAAAATCTGGTATTTTGATTTCGGTTTACCCCATATGGAAAATAAAATAAAAATCCAAGTATACCAAATCTTGATAATTATCCGGCCATCAAATAAAGAAATAATATTATTGAGAAAAATTTGGTACTCTTACAAATTTCCACTATAAATTTATTAGACTTTATAATTAATCCCAACATATATATATATATATATATATATATATATATATATATATATATATATATTTCAAGATCTTGCTTAATATGATAAAAATAATTAAATAATAATACTCATTGAACTCCTCATTTACATACACCGTACCCAATTGAAATGGGTGTAAAAAAATCAAAATTTACATTTAAATTAATGATCATATGATCGATCAAGTATCGCAAAAATGGCTAGTGAGCTTTTGCTTATATGGAAGAGGATTATACTTAATGTTATAAGGTATATATATATATATATATCCTATTGGAGTTGAGAAGTTGATCCAATTCCAACCTGCAACCATGGCGAAGCATTGCCCTGCTTATTAATGCTATTCATTTCTTTCAGCCCACTGAGCTTTGCTAATTCCACTTTATTATTACTATCCGCTGCTTCTTCTTCTTCTTCATCATCATCATCATCTAGGTTTTTAGAGCCGCCATGGGCAGAAACGGCGGCGATTTTCTGGTGTTCATCGTCAATAATAATGTTGTTGTCGTTGTTGTAGTAGTCGTTGTTGTCGTCGTTATTGGGAGGATGGTTCCGGTAGTCTCTGGAGGTGTCCATAGTGAAGGGACGGAGATGAATGTCGGTAGATACCTCGAAGCTAAACGGGTTCCGGGGGTCCCGTCTTATTCCGCCGTTCATGTCGTCGCCGGCGGGGAGATTGAGGTCGAGGGCGGCCGCCGCCTGCAGGGAGGATTTCTGTTCTTGGAAGTGGAATTTAGGGGGGGCGGAGGTTTCTGGGGAATTGGAATTTGCAGATGACGTGATCCAATGGCACCTTTTGTGACCTCCTAAAGCCTGTCCGGTGGAGAAAACACGGTGGCATATGGAACATTCGTGATCCTTGGATTTCCTTTTGGAAGCTCCGGCGGCGTATGTGGAGCCGTGTTCCAGCTGGAGGTGGTACGAGGATGTTTTGGAAGGTGGTGGGAAGAAATAATCGTCGTGGGTTGTTGTTAGATCATTATCGTCGCCTAGTAAAGTGTCGACGTTATCTATTTGGTCTTGTTTGGCGGCGTAGCATCCTTTAACTTTCTTGTGGCTGGCTCTATGGCCGCCCAGAGCTTGATGTGAAGTGAAAACTTTCTTGCAGGCCTTGCATTCAAACAGCCCTTTAGAAGAAGAAGAAGAAGAAGCCATAGTCCCTTTCGCCTTATTGTCCACGCGCGGCCGGCTAGCGGCGGCGAGTGGAGCCAGAAACACCGCCGCGGCGGCGGCGGCGGCGGCGCTGGACTCAACTTCCTGCTCCGCCGCCTCCACCCTAGCGTTCGCCAAATCAATGAGGCATTTCGCGAGTAGGATATCTTCGTCTTCGCTGCAGCTGGAACCGGCAAAGTTGCCAACTTTAGCCCGGAAAGACCTTTTCCGCTTAGACCACCCCGGCCCTTTCCGTCCAAAATCCTCGTCCCCGTCGTCGGAACCCGGCGACGACACCAGCGACTCGGCGTCGTCGGAGCTGCACTTTCCGTGCTCCAGAAACGATTTCCAGGAAAAAAACTCCTTCCCGCAATTCTCACAAACCCTAACACTCTTCAACCGATTGGGATTGGCTCTCAATTGATACATCCTCTTAAAGCCCGGCCCCCCATCATTCATCTTCTCCTCCCAATCACTAGCCTGATCATCATCCTCCATGTTGGCACTGTCATCTCCGATCCCATGCGCTCTCATATGCCCTCCCAAAGCTCTCCCGCACATAAACCCCTTCTTACAAACCCTGCAATAATGCTTAAAGCTCGCCGATTGCTGCCCCCCATCTTGATCAATACAAGCCATATATCTTCGACAATATAATGATATATATTCAATTAAGATTCAAGAATTGAAATAAAAGACAATGGAGAGAGAGGGAGAGAGAGAGAGATGAGGATGGCATGGAGATGGTAAGTTGGTTCTTGTAGTTGAAGCCGTTGTGTGGATGTGAGGTGAGGATATATGGGAGGACATGCAGAGTTAAGGTTAGTCCTAGTTTTTAGCGAAATGAATTGAAGCTCGTAGGATCGGAGGAAATTAAAAATGCATGCATGGTTGGTTGGTTGGTTCGTGGTGGAGATCGAGAAATGGGTAATGGGTTTGGTCGAGTGTGAGATTGAGGGTGACAAGTGTAGTAAATGGTTGGTTGGTTGGTGGTGGCGCCGCCCAAGGGACGGCGGAGAAGATCATCGGAACAAAATTAGGGATCGGATGACCAAGTGATTGACTAAGCTAGGAGTGTTTGTCTCTGGTCCGTCCACTCAGAGTAAAATGACAGAGAGAGTGAGAGTTACGGTGTTGATCGAATTGGTTGGTTCAATTCAGTTTCTAACTGCATGCCAAACAGCCATTCATGTTCCCTACAATTCCAAGCCAAGTAAATTAAACACCCACGTTTCTCCTCGTCTCTCGCTTGCTCTGATCTCTCTTACATACGCTCTTATGTTAACTGCGTTAGTTTTTGCTTTTCTTAATCATTCTTTGTCATGATATCAGTTGTTATACCATGTACAAATTGTATCCGAGTCCAAAATACACCATTTACATACTTAATGTTCAAAATTTACCTTTTACAAAATTATGAATATTCAGTATGTAAATTGTGTATTTTGGACCTGGATCCACAGAATAATTTGTTGTCATGATATATATGACAAATTATATCGTGGATCAGGGTCCATTGTGCATTGTGGATTCTGATCCAATATACAAAATTTGACTTCATAATACACATAATTTATGTTCATAATGCACATACACAAAAACACAATATAATGGACATGGACTTTGTGCATTATAAATATGAATTATGTGTATTATGTTAAGCGTTTATGTGCCTTCAACTATATAATACACAGAATTCATGTTCATAATGAACAAAATTTATGTTCATTATATCGTGTTTATGTGTATGTGTATTATGAACATAAATTCTGTGTATTAGATCAGGATCCACAAAGCATTGTGGACCTTTATCCACGATATAACAATGAGATATATAATCAATCACTATCACCAACACAAATATATTATTGGATGAAGGCATAAATTAAAGTCCATATCAAATGGATGAGAGTCAAATTGGATGGGATAAGGCCCATATTGTTATCCTCTAAGGCCCATCTTATGGAATGATCAATATGAAAGGCCTATACTATTACAAACCAGACGTTATGCCATGGAACCGTGTTCACCATTCATGGTGAACACGGTTCCAACGGTGTTAGTGCAACGTTATCTTTTTTTTTTTTTTTTTTTAATTAATTACGTGACTGCCTACACATTCACTTTGGAACCATGCCTACACATTCACTTTGGAACCATGAGATTATGAATTTTCTGTTATGAGATTATGAATTTTCTGTTATGCGATTATGAATTTTCTGTTATGAGATTATGAATTTTCATTACATTCATAATTTCGGAGTTTCGGACATTCATAAATTATGAATTCATGCATGCACATTCACTTTGGAACCATGCCTACATATTCCCGTCCGAAATCACGGACATTCATAAATTATGAATCCATGCCTGCACATTCACTTTGGAACCATGCCTACACATTCACTTTGGAACCATGAGATTATGAATTTTCTGTTATAAGATTATGAATTTTCTATTATGAAATTATGAATTTTCAGTTGTGAGATTATGAATTTTCTGTTATGCGATTATGAATTTTCATAAAATTCATAATCTCATAACAGAAAATTCATAATTTGATCAGTAACGCGCCGTTAACTCCACATCCGCGATTTTTTTTTTTTTTTTTTTTTTACCTAAAAACGACGTCGTTTTGACTTGTGTTCACCATTCTCGGTGAACACGATTCCACGGCATAATTTGCGATTACAAACAACATTCGTTTAGGGAATGATCTAATGTAAGGCCCAACAATATTACAACCCTTTGATTTACGAGAAAATCCGCAATTGTTACACAAAGGTGCGTTATGAATGAAGGTTGCATTGTGATTCTAGCTTGGCAAAAGACCACACTAAAGTAAATCAGCCTAGCTAAATTGTCGATAATTGATCAACTTAAACAAAGAAGACCAATAGATAACTCCACATAGAACTAGACTTAAAATTTTGTGATTCTCAAACCAACTACATGACTGACTCAGCAAGGTTGCCTCCAACAATATTGCCATTATTGTCTCTACAATACATGTTACAAGCCCAAAAATGTATCGGTTACGATACTCAATGCAACTGGTAATCATGTTGATCGACACTTTATAATTTTCTACTTATTTATTTCAATTTTAATGGAGTATATACATACACACATAGTTTATGAATGGCATTCCAAATGATGACAAAATAGAGAGGGAGTGGCTGAGTTGTAACCAGCACAATATATATAATAGGCTCAAACAACGAGTGGATAACATTAAAACACCAAACATGAATTAAGAATTGAATCGCCCCATACATTATATTGACCCCATCCTATATATCAATCTTCTTATATTATTATATCTTCCTATATATCCATCATCATATCGTGCATGGGATTTATGGTCTCCTTTTCTGCCGATTGCATTATCTATATATGCTGTTTGTACAGCTCCGATCCTCAGCTACAGACATGTTTGTATGGGAAGACTTTTCTAGTGCTTATGGCCACAATTCCAATCCGATTCAAATTAGTGCTTATCAACACATACAAAATGATTCTGAACATGATTTGATTCGAATCCAAATCAGATACAAAACACTCAAGTCAAATCTGAATTACTTTTAAAGTTATGAAGATATTAGATGTGATATGCACAATTTATGACTTCGAAACTTCTTTCGACCTTTTTAACTTATAATGTAGTTTTGAATTAAATAACAGACATGTGGCCTGTTTCTTTCTATTAAAAACCCGACTTGAGATAAATAGTTAAGTGTGGGAGAATATATGCGCATAATTATAACCAAAATTGTTATTTCTATACAATTTTTTTGAGAAATGAGAGAAACCCGCATCTACTATTCAAGGGTCGGGCATACACCAGATGAATATTCTATGTTTTAATTTCTACAGCAATAAGCTGGTAACCTGGGTGAATGTTGTATCTTCTCTTTGTTTTGATTTGATATCTTGAGCACATCTCAAAGTCCTCTCAATTTGGTAGCCTCCTCCAATGCCCACTTCTCTTTCAAGATGGCAGCAGTAGCTATGGAATACACTCACATTCACATGCAATTTGAATCTCATCAAGAACAAAAACTCTACCTCCAATTTGTTCATTTCCATTGTTGTCAATCCACCCACTCTTGCAAAGTATGAATTCCTATAATTCCTGCATCTCCAAATTAACCAATCATATAACAAATCTCCGGCAAACTGTTGAGCATATAATATATAAACATAAATTTAACATGTTTCAATCCAACTATCACATGTTTCAATTTGGTATCAGAGACTATTGGACTTACATATCTTCAACATACTTAGAAGCCACCATGATGGTAGTGATGAGAAGCCTGTGGACATTTGTGGGACCAATTCTGAACTGGGGATGGAGCTGGCAGAATCTGTCGAGGTAAACATAGGCGACAACATAAACCGACGGTCCGGCTCCGGTGTACCGGAAAACCCTCTCCAAGTACGACTCAATCGTCATGTCCGGCGCCTCATTGCACTCGAAAACCTTAGTTGATCCCACATTAATATCCATAGCTCCTCTGAAGTTCCTGGCAATTCTCTGGTTCCTCGTCACCGTCCTCCCAATCAGAGAAGCAAGAACTGAGATCACCAGTGGAGTGCTCGATTGTTCCTGGTATGCGTACAAGTAGAGATCATCCCTAAGCTTTCTTGGAGATATTATTGAAGCTTCTTCTGTAATTACCACCGCCATTCCAGACAGATTTGAAGCTTTTGTCAATGGAGATCAGAAGTAATTTATAGAAGATGGGGGTTTGGTAAGGTAGAGTGTAAAGAATTAAAATTTTGCATTTGGAAGTGGGGAGGAAGGGGAGATAGATATATAATAATTATGTGTCAATATCAAAATACAATATTTTTGTCTCCTTATTGTAAAGGCAATAATGGCCACGGACACCACCAAAAGTTTTGCTTAAATAAATGTTTCACCACCCAACATGGCATCATCATCATATAATACTTTCATACATTAACACTGTGCCATGAATCCGGCCAGAAACATCATTAGTTAGCTACATACTTAGCTGTTACTCCTTAGAGTTTGCTGTATTTTAGGCATATGTCATCATCTAATGTCTTCATTACTTTTGAATTAACCTGAATTCCACCAAATTGGGTTTGCTGAGTTTGACGTGTTAGTTCTAAATATAGTCTAACCATACATTATACATAATAAAATCTACGAGAAATCTAACATAGTAATAACAAAAGCAAAAGTAGTGTAGTAGATCAACTTGTTATACATGTGTTGCTTCTTGAACGGTAAACATGCAGATCAGAATAAGGCATTTTGTTTCATAGATGGTGTATTGATATTATTCTAAGCACCATGGGTACCATAACTTAAGGTAATATATATATATATAGTATCTTGTATCTCATCAATACAGGTTTTATATTAGGCACAAGCTAAGGCCCAATAGAACAACTACTTCTAGTTATTCAGTTCGTGCCAACTAGACTACTTACCCAGTTCATTAACTTGCATCACATAATAAAGACCCTAATGACATACTTTGATGCATGCATATGTCAATAATGTGCAGTGTCTTGGATTAAAATAGCACACGGGAGGACAACATACCTCTTGACACACCCGTGATGTCAAATACAAGAGAACAATAAGTTACAACCCCTCTACAAGACTTTTAAGCATTGCAGTTACATTAATAATTTATTTACCAATCCCTTCAAATTGTTAGGTTAGATTTTGTTGTATAAAGTATTAAAGTCGAATAATTTACATACTTTTACCAGCATAATAAATTAGTAACTGTCTATTAGCATTCTTAGTTTAAATCAGTCAGTTATGAACAATCTTACACGCAATATCTGCAACATTTATTTCAATAGGTGCGGGTACACGTGAGAGGTGTTGCCGACGGTGGAAAGGGCGAAGAGACAAATCCAGTTTGAAATAGAAGCAAGGAGATATGGAGATCAAATCAAAGGTACAATTTTGTACAATATCATGAATACCTCCTACACCCACACAGCCTGTTCCATGCCCTAAATTTCAACTTTAATTGGGGCCCAAACCCGAAACTCCAATTCAGAAATGGACCCGCTTATGTACTTCAATGTATCCAGCAGTTCTGGTGATTTAGTACTGCCTCAAAACCACATGATCTAGAGATTTATTGTATTGGTTAGCCCAAGATTTCGAGGTCTAGTGGTTGGTGGCACCGACATGACTTTAGATTGTGAGATTGTAAGGTTGAACGACCTTATAATTTTAGATTAAAACAGTGTAAGTTCGACCTCAATATCTCTCGGATTCTCTTTAAGTGGCAATGGGTTGGCAATTTTGTAGCCATTTAATCGTTGATAAAAGTCAAACACCTTGTGCTCAAATGGTATCTAGGTTGGACTCTCATATGGGAGATTGTGAGTTTGAACCTCAATGGAAACGTTATTGGCTCTTTGTGCTTCAATAGGTTGAGAAAGTAATAAATACTACATTGTAATAGAGTCAGTAGCATTAAAAAAAAAAAAACTATATTTTGCTCACCTCTAATAATGATGGACCGGTTAGAGTATTGAGTGTTATATGCTAAAAGAGTTTTCCCTTGCATGTGGGCACTTCTATAAATTCGAAAATTGGGCTGGGCTGAAAAAGGTATTGCGGCCCAATAATATTTTAGAGGGCTTTTTATTAGATGAGACCACATATAAGGCCCAATCTTAGTTGGTGACGTGGAGATAAATGATTGGAGAAGCGTACGTGGCTGACGGCATTGAATTTTAGGCGAGTTGCATACAAGCAGTGGTGTTCGTTTTTACCGTCATTTTTCCTGAGCCTGAGGGATTCAATCAATCTGAAGACAAAACCCTAATTTCGATTCGTGAACGTTAAGGTCAGATTATTATTCTCTTGTCTCCTCCATTTTCAATTACTCCGTATTTTAATGAATCTATGTGCGTGTGTCGGGAATTGGGGCCGGGGAGATAGATCTTTGATTTTGGTTAGGGGCATTTGATGTATTCGACGAATGTTATGCAATTTGAACTGTAAGATCTGATGAAACTTCCGTAAATTTCCATTTTGCTTTATGTGTACATGGGATCGGCGTTTTGTCTTAAGACTTTGTGTTTATCTGTGATTTCTGCTCGACAAAATTGTGTCTTGGCACTTGGCGATTAGCCCTGAATTTCGAGTTGATTAATAAGCTGAAATGCTTTCAGAAATTTGTGGAAGTAGGCAAGAAATATTAGTTGGTTGATCAATGTGAATGTTGTGAATTGTGATACAATTTTGTATTGTGAGAATCCTCCTCTTAACATATTAGTCATGTTTGATTTTGGTGGCATTTTGAATGTTCTAGTAATGCTGAATGAATTGCATATAACTCTTGTGTTTCAGTTGAGATGTATATATAGTTTTAGGAGGTAAAGAAATCCCTAATCTGGGTAAGAAAGATGGAAATTGGACTGGGCTCAGGGGTGATTTCTAATTTCTAAGCATCTTCTTTTGTACCTCAATTGGTAGTGTTTTGGGTAACATTATGCTCCTTGGAAGGGATGACTAAAGATTGCATTATGTTGTTACAAAGAGATGTTGGATGTGTGTGATGGAAAGTGAAGTACATGCTATGTTGAGCTAAGAAGGAAATTGAAGTCTCTCATTATTGATTGAAGAGGGAAAAACATTAACCAGACAGTCAGATGATGACTGCCTTCTTAAAGGAGTCCATGGTAGTCCATGGTCCACAGTAATAACGGTCCACAGTAATAACAGAAATAAAAGAGAACAGAAATAAAAGAGAAATAAAAGGAAAATACAACTTTGCCCTTTTAATATCTACACATGGACTAAACTAGCACATTGTTACTTCGTCACCCCCCCGTAAGCTGGAGCATGAACGTCATGAAGGCCCAGCTTAGCATGGAAAGCATCAAAACTCAGCTTTGGCAATCCTTTAGTGAAGCCATCTGCAACCTGTCTATGTGAGGCAATAGGCATCAGCTTAACCACCCCTTCACACACCTTTTGTTTAACAACATGACAATCGATTTCTATATGCTTAGTGCGCTCATGAAAAACATGATTCTCTCCAATTGCTATGGCAGACTGGTTGTCACAATATAACAGACAAGGACTATCACAATGCACCTTCAAATCTGCAAGCAAATATAGCAACCACTGCACCTCACAAACAGAAGAGGCTAAAGCTCTGTACTCAGCCTCAGATGAGGACCTGGAAACTGTGGCTTGTTTCTTAGTTTTCCAGGAAATTAAGGACTGGCCTAGGTAAACACAATATCCAGTGATAGACTTTCTTGATTCTGCACAAGTGGCCCAATCTGAATCTGAAAAACCCTGCAGTTTAAGGGGAGACTTTGCAGAATAAAATAGCCCTTTACCAGGAGAACCTTTGAGGTATCTCAATACCCTATGAGCTGCTACAAGATGTGAGTCCCTGGGCTTGTCAACAAACTGACTCAACTGTTGAGTAGCATAAACAATATCAGGCCTGGTACTGGTTAAGTAAAGAAGTTTACCTACCAGCCTTCTATATATTTCAGGATTATCAAGTAATCTGCCTTCTATATTGTTTAGCTTTTGCCCTGCAGTAATGGGTGTTTGTGCTGGCTTGGAGTCTAGGAATCCATTTTCCTTCAAAATCTCCAAGGTGTATTTCCTTTGACAGAGATTAAGGCCATCTGAAGTCCTGAGAGCCTCTATCCCCAAGAAGAAATTTAATTGGCCAAGATCTTTTATTCTGAAAGCTGAATCCAGAAACTGTTTTAAATCATCAATCATCTTTGAATTTGGGCCTGCAACCACTATATCATCAACATAAATGAGTAATGCAACAAAAGAAGTGGTTGAACCCTTAGTAAACAGAGAAGGGTCTGCCATTGACTGCTGAAAGCCACTATCTATTAATGCCTTAGTAAGCTTAGCATTCCATTGCCTGCTTGCTTGCTTTAAACCATATAGGGATCTAAGCAGCCTGCATACCATCCTAGGATTATTGGTTTGAAGGCCAGGAGGCAAAGTCATGTAGACTTCTTCTTCTAGATCTCCATGCAAGAATGCATTGTTGATATCTAGCTGCTGGATATCCCATCCCATTGCAATGGCCACAGCTAAAAAAGTTCTAATAGTGGTCATCCTAGCCACAGGGGAGAATGTCTCAACATAATCCACTCCCAACTGCTGTGTATATCCTTTAGCAACCAATCTAGCTTTGTATCTTTCAATAGACCCATCTGCTTTGTGCTTGACTTTAAAAACCCATCTACAACCAATTGGAATCTTCCCTGGGGGCAACTCAGTTAAAAGCCATGTCTTATTCTCAATCAAGGCATCTATCTCAGTCTGCATAGCTCTTCTCCAAGTATCATGTTTAACTGCCACACTGTAGGACTGAGGCTCAAAAGTGGAAAGAATAGATGATGCACAAAGTCTGTCAGTGTAAGATAGGCCTTCATAAGAAATGAACTTGTCTATGGGATATGGAGAAGTTCTAGCAGAATTTGTGTTCTTTGACATGGTATGGCAGTAATAGTCATGTAATTTAATGGGGATATGCCTTACTCTTTCTGATCTTCTATACTGCATTTGGTTGTCTACTGCTTCATTGCTTATTTCAGGTGTGTAGTCCTCAGGAATTACATCATTGTTTGTTGGAGTACTCCTTTCTGAACTGTCATCAAAGGTGATGGTGGTGTCTTCATTTCTGTCAATCACCTCACCCCTTTCTATGTCTGTAGAAGGTGTATGCCTTGTGTTAACTGATGAAGGAATCAGTGGAAAATCAGTCTCCTCAATTGCTTGCATGCCTTCATCTGTTTCTGAGCTATCTTTCCCTTCCTGAAAGGGATATATATGCTCATAAAAGTGGACATCCCTAGAGACAAACACATCCTGATTAGAGATATCATATAGCAAATAACCTTTAACATTGGCAGGAATCCCTAGAAAAACACACTTTCTAGCCCTTGTCTGCATCTTATTCCTTCCCTGAGATGTAGTAGCAGCATAGCACAAACAACCAAACACCTTTAGGTGATCATACTGCACACTCTTGCCAAATAGTGTCTCAAAGGGGGTTTTTCCACTGAGTACAGGGTTGGTAATCTGTTGATTAGATAGCAAGCATGAAGGACACAATGTCCCCAAAAATCCACAGGAAGACCTGAATGAAACCTGATGGCTCTAGCCACATTCAGGATATGTTGGTGTTTTCTTTCTACAACCCCATTTTGCTGGGGTGTATATGCACATGACTTTTGATGGATGATTCCCTTTTCATTACAAAAAGCTTCCATGAAGAATTCTCTTCCATTATCTGTTCTCACAGCTTTAATATTAGTGGAAAATTGAGTAGAGACATAGTGATAAAAATTCTGAAACAACATTCCAACTTCTGATTTATTCCTCATCAAGTGCAACCATGTAAACCTACTACAATCATCAACAATTGTCAAAAAATACTGTTCTCCTTTTAGAGAAGCTACTGCAAAAGGTCCCCAAACATCCATGTGAACCAGGTCAAAACATCTATCAGCCCTAGAATGACTAATAGGGAAAACTGATCTCTTGTGTTTGGCAAAATGACAAGCATCACAAGCAAAATTACATGGTTTGGAAGGTTGGTCATGCTTTATTCCATCTAGGAGATGTACTTTATTTATAGGGTAGTGACCTAACCTATTATGCCACAATTGTAAGGATAGGCCATTACAGTGAATATCAACATCCTTATTTCCACAATAGAGCTTCCTTCTGATTGGGGGATCAGTCATCAGGTAGAGTCCATTCCTTTCTCTAGCAAAACCACACACTGTCCCATGGAGACCCTGAATATTGCATGAATTAGCATCCATTATGAGTTTACATGGTGTTTCTTTTGTCAATTTGCTAGCAGAAATGATGTTGAAAGTAAATGAGGGGATACACAGAACCTTTGTTAGCAATATACCCTGATGCAACCTGATTTCCCCAATATGACTGACATTTACAGTTTCCCCATTGGGTAACTTCACAAAAACTGCATGCACTGGTTCATATTTCTCAAAATACTCTAGGGAACAGATGATGTGATCTGTGGCCCCTGAGTCAACAATCCAAAAACTAGGAGAAACAGCATTATTAACAAATAAATTGGGAACAGAACTACCTTCACAAGAATCATCAGGGAGATTCTTAGGAGCAGACTTCATCCCTGAGCTATTCACCTTTACAGCAGAGCTAGTTGAAGCCTGAATTCCCTGATTCTGGTTTTGCACAAAATTCATCAACCTTTGAAATTGATCAGCTGTCAAACCTAAATCAGCACCTTGGCTTATGGAAGAGTTTGCAGATTGCTGAGCTTCTTGACTTTGTCTGTTTCTAGCTTTATAACCGGGTATCCATCCAGGAGGATATCCATGTTTTTTGTAACATTTCTCAACAGTATGCCCATTCATACCACAATACGTGCACTTAGGTACATTTCTTCCTCCACCACTGTTGAATTTTTTCTTATTATTTGCTTCTGTGACTGCCACAAAGACCTGTTCATCTGAGACTTGAGTCTGACTATTCTGAAGAGCATTAGACTGGACCAAGTCAGTGTTCCTCTGAATAATGGATCCATTGAGCTTCCTCTCAAGCTTCAAAGCCATGTTAAGGACCTTTTCCATATCTGGAATGGGATCCATAACCAGTACACCTGACTTTATAGTCTCAAAATCATCACTAAGACCATCCAAAAACCTGATGACCTGGTCATCTGCTCTCTTTTTCTGCATTTTACTCAGGAGATTACAAGTGCATCTAAGGGAGCATTCACACACTAACAGAGGTCTCATAGCATTCAATTTTTCCCACAAGGCACTACACTTTGTAAAATATTCATTAACAGACAAGTTACCTTGTGCATTCCTATAAATTTGATTCTGTAATTCTGCAATCCTATGAGGATCAGCTTGCGAGTATCTCCTCTTGAGAGCTTTCCAAATGTCAGCAGCTACTTCGTAATACATCACAGTTTCAGCGATGTTCGAACTGATGGATTTCAGAAGCCACGAGCAGACAATGGTGTTGCACCTTCTCCATACAGGATGTCTCGGATCAGCTTCGCCTGGATCTGGAATTGAACCAACTGCAAAGCCAAACTTGTTCTTAACTTCTAGGGCTATCTTCATAGACCTACTCCATGAAGCATAATTGTGCTCAGATAGGAGAGGCGACACGAGAATCAGATTCGGATTCTCAGTGATGTGCAGATACAACGGATCATCGAATTCATCACTCCGCTGAACTGGAATTTGGCTAACTGGACTTTGATTCGCTGGATTCGGAATCTGTCCGGTGGAAGCTTCTCCGCCGGCTTCATTACTTCCGATCACTGCGGTGGCGTAGCTATAACCTGGCTCTGATACCATGATGGAAAGTGAAGTACATGCTATGTTGAGCTAAGAAGGAAATTGAAGTCTCTCATTATTGATTGAAGAGGGAAAAACATTAACCAGACAGTCAGATGATGACTGCCTTCTTAAAGGAGTCCATGGTAGTCCATGGTCCACAGTAATAACAGAAATAAAAGAGAACAGAAATAAAAGAGAAATAAAAGGAAAATACAACTTTGCCCTTTTAATATCTACACATGGACTAAACTAGCACATTGTTACTTCGTCAGTGTGCCTAAGCAAAAAAGCGGTGTATATTAGCTCTGTTCTAACTTCTAACTGTGATTTGGTGTGGCACAGAAATGGCATTGGGAGCTGGTCCACAAAGAGGCACTGCTGCAGCTGCTGCTGCAAACATGCGTCGCAGGAGGACAGCAGGCGGCGGTGGAAGTGCTGCTGCTGGCGGGGCGAGTGGAACTATGCTCCAGTTTTACACTGATGACGCCCCGGGACTGAAGATTTCTCCCAACGTTGTTCTTATAATGAGCATTGGCTTCATAGCTTTCGTCGCTGTTCTCCACGTGATGGGCAAGCTGTACTTCCGCAAAGAAGCTTAGAGGAGAATCCTAACCAGTAAATGTGGATGAATCAGGCTTTTAGTACACTCAGTTTTGAAGCTTAAACTTGTTCAATAGGCTCTCTCTCCATTTCAATGGTTTGTTTTGTATTGTATTGGAGTTTTTTGATGACATATCAAAATTTTCTTCAGGATCAGTCAAGGCTGCATTGTGCTCTGCCTCTTCTCAAAATTTTACTTCTCTCATTTGTTTTTTAATCCAATCATATGTTAATCCCCTTGATATTGCCTAAGAAGACATTGTGCTACAGCCTCGTTTGAGAAGATTGAGAAGTTACAATGTAGTATCTGTTCATATTTACTTTCTCAATCTATTGAAGCACAAAGAGTCAATATCATCTTTACTAGGGCTCGAACCCAAGACACCTGCCATTTGGGAGAGTCACTTTATGCCACTAGAGTCAAATTTACTTTTGACTCTTATGCACTAGTACTACACCATCTCTTTTGGGACTAAAAAATGTTAAAATTTACCCACTTGATCACCTCTTTCGAGACTACATGCAAGAACTTTTCTTGAAAATGTTGGACAGCCCATATTGACCAGATGGCTGCTGCATGCCATGGCAAAGACCAACTTGTAAGATCATAATAAAGTAACATGTTGGATTAATTGAAGTTTAATATAATTAAAGAATATGTATTATGACAAAAAAGTATAATATATGTATTACAATTCAAGTTCAACTCCCCTTTTTTGGTTTGAGTCTATTTTGTAATAACATTTAATTGGTGAATACCTATTGATCTATGTGTGTAAGTGTGTATAATTACAGAGAAAACCAAAGAATGAATGGTAAAAGAAATGTGGACAAAAGGGTTGGACTGTTCTTGAAATCAGAGGCGCCATTAGAGGACATATCAGATTCTTCGAAAGCTTTATAGCTGAAGTTTGGGTTAGAACCATAAAGTGCTTGAATACCCTTAATATCATCAAGCTTCAGCTCCACCTTCTTCTCTCTGGGCTTCAAGCTCGGATACATGATCGCTTCTTGAACGGAAGTGTGAGCTAACCCTAGCAAATGCCCGATTTCATGCGTCGCCACCGACTCCAAATCCACTGCCACGTCCGACGTTTGGGCTTCGAAGTCCACCGCCCACGTCTCCGCCGCGTCTAGGTGGAACCGCCCGCTCTCCGGCGAGAATGCATGGGCTAAAACCCCCAGCACCCCGTCGAACGGCTCCCCGTCGCCGTGGTCGCCGGCGTAGAACCCAATCTTGATGTCGGCGAATCCGTAGTCGCTGGTTTCCAAGAACGTCACCGGAACCACCGAAGCCCAGTGCCCGAAAGCATTCTTCACCGCCGTCCTGATCTCTATACCCGTCAAACTCTTGATGGTGTTCTCCGGCGAGAACGCGTACGTTAGCGTCTTCGGAACGGCGCGGTTCCACCTGGGACGGTCGGAGAAAAAAGCGTAGTTTCTCTTCACATGCAGCCGGGCGTTCGGGTTCGGCAAAACGACGTCGGGGACGCCGCACCGCGGCGAAGTGATCGCCGAAATTGTCTCCCTGTCGAGCTTTCCGGTGACCCGAAGTCCGAGGTTAGCTTGATACTTCGTCAAGGCATGCTCAAAACTGTTGTCGAACAAATCCGTAAACCTCGTACTCCTCGTCGTCGTGTTTTCTCGGCTCAAGTACCCAAAATGGTGAAAATATCTCTTGAGCTCAGAGATTCCATGGACGCTGATTCCTTTGCTACCGTCAACCAATCTATCGAACCTATTCACAACGTTGTTCGCGGGTTTAAGGTCAACGGCCGCCGGGGTTGTTCTGGCGGGAAGACACGGCGAGGATAGAAGAAGAAACGCCACAGAAACGCAAGCGGCGAAGAGTGAAAGCATGGCGGTCTGAAGCTCTGAAAGCTACGAGTTTGAGAGGTATGAAGGGGGAGATATAGAAGGAAAGCTTATTTATAAAGAAAAGTTATTATGATTATTAGAAACTACTATAAAGTATGTTTGCCTAATTTACTTGATTATAAAAGTAAAGTATGATAGGGATTGTGAAAATAACATGCAGCTTCCTAGGTTAAGCGCAGATGTTTCTTATTCACAACGTAACGTTGTCAACTGCGAAAGTTTCAAAGTATAATATATACAACCATCCAAATAGTACTAAAAACAAAAGTATTTCAGCAATACTTCTCCTTTTCATTCTTTGTTGGGTCTCATTAAAATATGGTCTCACCCGAAAGTGGGACCAAAAACTTCACCCTCAATTCAAATCTTTTGGATTAGCACAACTCTTTGTCATCACATCGTTTCCTCATATGTTGTCACGAATTGAAATCAAGGAATTGAAATTAAAATTATGAAATTTTATTTTATTTTTTTAAAAAGGTAATGATAGTTGAGTAGTATATGTGTTAACTGTAAGGTCAGATGATTAACTCTTGTACACTATGATCTCAAGTAAGAGGTCAATGCAAAATCTGCGGTGTAATCTGGGCTGAATCTGAATTAGTCTTATAGTGAAGAGAATACTGAACTGCAGATGCACCACAAGAAAAGAAAGGGGATAATGGTTGGTAGTATGAGTGAGAAGTTAGAAGCAAGAGGAGCGATGTGAATGGTAGAAGAAGTATGGGTGGAGATATGAGACACTTGGGTAGTTTGGTTTTCAAGTGAAGATGAGAAAGCTATGAAGCAAACTGGTATGAGTTAGTTATGGGTGGTGATGATTGAAATGCACAAGGGGGGGCTGATCACTGCACCTTAGAGAAACAGAGAAAGGTCAGGGTCGTTAATGGCGTGTAAAAGACTCCATCAGTCAACCCACCGGTGTGAAAGGGAAAGTCACCTTAACGACATTAAATTAGGTCCTATGTAAGATCAACGTAACCTTCAATTCCTTCTAGTACCTATCTAGTTTTCAACTCTTTGGAAAAGTCTAGTCTACCTTCTTGCTCACTTTGCTTTTTTCAAATTAGATACATTCATCTAATTAATTAATCTATCACATGTTACTATGTTATGTTACCTCTCTTTATAAATCAGAAGGTTAGGAATACCCTTACTCTAAATTTATTTAGTTCAAATTCTTGCAATTGGAGCATCGTATCACTCCAATCACAGTTTGTTCAAACAATTTTCTAGAGATTATATAGTTGAAGTGGTACGGTAGTAGATCGTCATCCTAACTACTCCAAATGCATCCTATATCGATGATAAATTCGATACATCTTACATTTCTTTGACACAAAAAATAATTAAAATTTTGACGTAGAGAATAAGAATACCCTTTTAACTTTTAGAAAATTTTATATAGTTGTCAATTGGCATTAGTACCTTGCACAAAGGCATAAAATACATGATTTTATTTTTGTAGTGTTTGTATTATTAGTAATGGTTTCAAGTAATATCCAATACGACCAGTGTCTTAAAATAAAATTTTCTTTTAATTTTATTTTTAAATACAAAAGCTTGAAGCCCAACAATCTTAGAAAGCCCATCAATAGTTTCACAAATGGCCCAATACTTGGTATCCACCAAGCCCAATAAGAGTCCAACACACATGACCCTAAGAGGCCCAACTCTAATTCAAGTGTTTTTTTTTTTTAATTTTTAAAATTACTTTCAAAATTTTTATTAATAACCCATTTTTACTCACTACCAACTCTTTTTTTTTTTAATTATGTAAAAAATTTGACCGTATAAATTACCATCGTAAAAATTAAAAAATATATATAATTTAAACATAACAAAATATAAGTTACTTAAACTGTTGTAACTACTATTGAGCTAACGACCTTGTAAACATGAATAACGCAAAATTGTCCATTTTTCTCAAGTACTAGCTAGCAACAACAATAATTGTAACATAATTCAGATCTAATAGCAACTACTCTCTTTTCACTGTTTGTTTCATTAAAGGAAACAATAGTGTTGGCTTTTGTTGAACCAACGTTGCCTTTGTCTTCATGTTGCCCTGCCCAGTCTCCTCGTACACAAAACAGTGTTACCACTTTCCACGTGTCAAAAGCCCACAACGGTGGCAAGAAAAGGTGGAGCTGAGTTGGTATATTTTATTGGATTAATTGAATTGTATTAATTAATTAATTGCTGCCTTTAAATCCCCACGTGCGGAAATTGAATTGATGTTTTTCTTATCTAACAACAGTAATCACCATGTACGATTCTTGTGTCACAAACGAACTATCGTTCGGCCTTGCTTGCCTAACCTACCAAGCCAATGGTCCCAAAAACATTAACTATGGTTCTTAATAACTGAGGTGGACATCTGGTCCAATGGTAAAAAAAAAAAAATTAACTATTTCTTTATTTATTTTAGTGCTAGAGGAATTATCACCGGGTTTCATATTTAGCTCGGCCATATAATTCAAGAATGTCTAACGGTTAGAATGACATCAGAGTAAGTTACATTCAGCAGATTATGCGCTGATATATATGTATCAAAATGAATTATGACGGGCACAAGAACGATCGGCATATTTATGTAATTGCCCCATTTGTAACAGTATAAATATTATTATATTTATAAGGAATAACGGTCAAATAGACCATTGAACTGCACGGGATAATGCAATTAGACCATTGAACCTAAAAAAAATCTACAATTGAATCCATAAACTAATCAATTTCATGCAATTCCTCAGGTTTCTAACAAGTCACCCATGAGAATTTATACCGTTAAGGTTTGAAGAAATCATGTATCTTCCTCCTATATTCACACTGATGAGGTTTGAGAAAGTAGTTGCATTATTAAAGTGTTGAGACCCCACTATATACATAGAGCAATATTGCAACTTAACTAGGGTTAGTCCATGTCATATATATATATATATATATATATATATATATATATATCAACAAGAAATTTATCAATCATTTGTATATATACAAAATAAACAAAAACATATCAAGAAAATAATGTGTACTAAAAATTAATTAGAGGGTGGGAGCACCAAGTTAATTAGGGTTTGGTATTATCCGTTCTAGTATCGTCCAAAACTGAATCATATTTTTCGTACACTAAATCGTCCATTGATCTTATTAAATGTGGAGTAATTAATTAATTTTGACGATTTTAGTCTTTTGAAATGAATCGCATTATTACTATTCGTTGTATAATAACATTGTTAAAGGCCAATAAGTACTAATCTTTTAAGACACACCTTATTGTTATTGACTATGTGACAATAGTAATGAATGCATATGTACTATATATATGGTGATATGATATATGTATCCCAAATTCAAAACTATATATGTGTTTAAATTACATTTAAAGTGGAGAAAGTTACTTTTTTTTTTCTTTTTTTTTTTTTTGTAATGATATCATAGCCTTTTATAGGTAGCCAATTGGTAGATGGATGGAGTTTAATTTGGGGCATGGTTTGGTTGTAACTATATTTTTCAAGTAATAAATTCATATTTAAATTTTATTATTTGTATTCTCTATGAGATATATACTAACGTGACAAGTTAACTATGAATTGAAATGAATTGAAAAAAAATAAAAATAAATTACATTATATTTTCAACGATGTTGGTTGGGTGTGTTAAAAAATGGGATGTTGAAGAAGTACAAGTGGTTCTGGCAAATCAACTAGTTTTTTTTTCTATGTTAAAATGTAATATCTGGTCATAAACTACTTTCTCAACCTACTGAAGCCATTTGAAAAAGTCACTTTTTATCACTAAACCACAAGGTTATTGCCAACAAATTAAATCAACTAGTTTTTTTTTTTTGAATGTTACTGTCCCTATTACATTGTAATATCTGTTCATATACTTTCTCAACCTATTGAAACACAAAGAATCAATAACGCCTCCACTAAGGCTCGAACTCATAACTTTCCAAATGGAAGTCCAGCCCGGATACCATTAGACCACATAGTCTTGGTATTAAATCAACTAGTTTAAATTATACTAACTTTAAAATTTTAATGCTTTCTTCTAATACAATAGTAAAACACTACAGACAATTTAATAAAATGTAACAATGTTACAACAACAAAAATCATAGTCACGAAAAATCAGATACAATATGGTCAAACTTCTAAAAAATTGAGTTCAAAACGAGAACAATTCACATAAATTACGAGTCAGTTCGCACAAGTTATGACTTTCTTATAAAGTATAAACACCGCAAAAGGAACAATTCTATGCATTTTCACAAATTAAATTAAAGTTACTAAAGAAATTGACAAGCTAAGAGAGATTCATGCATGGATATATATATATATATATATATATATATATATATATATATATATATATATAGTTCAGTACGTTATGTCAATATTAGGCGTATAATTGAGAATTTTTTTTATTCAATAAGGACGTGACAATGACAATTCCTAGAACACACTACTACGTGTAGCATTCTATTTTTAAGACATCAAAAAATAATACTCTAAACTCAAAAGGCGTTTGAGTTTTTGTCAATTCATTTTTAATCAAACTTATCGTACATGTTTTTATGGTATAATTTATCTTTTATTTATTATTTATGAATTATTACACACGAATAAAATATAAAATTTACACTCAAATAGTGATTATAAATTTCACTTTTCATTAAAAAAAAAAAAAAAACATTACAAATGCAACATATAAAATCATGGTATGCTCTTCCGAGATTACAATGTTGTATATGGGGTAATGGGGACTGTAGCTTCACGTACGGCGGCACCCAGAGGAATATAATTGATTGCAATAATTAATGAATTATGCATGTACAATTATTAATTGGCCGGTTGGCCCTCCCTATATCTACCATATACAGTCTGGAAAAAAAAAAACATAAAAAATATTATGAACAACCTGCAGTCCAAGTACAAAGAGTTTAGTTCAATACTTCACTTAAAAAAATATTAAGAGTTTGAACTCCTAAGAAGTTTGAGATTGAAAAAAAAAAATTAATTTTTTTTTTAAAGCAACATAACCGATGTAAATTACTGCATAAATACTGAAATAAAATTAAGAAGAATAGAGTCCAGTACGTACAACGTGTTAGCCTGACTAAATGGCTATAATATAATATATACACAAACAAATCTTGACGACGAATAATTTGTATGTCGGGGAAACAAGTAGACAACCTCAATAAACATTGGGCAATTATTAATTTGGCCTACCTAGCTATATATGTATTAGGGTCGAAAATATAATGAACCTTCATTATATTACAACTAGCTTCCATGCAGGAGACAACTTACTCTATAACATGATTCATATAACAACGTTAATTCACACACATAATATTGTGGCCACCCTCGCTTAGAAATTAAATTATAGTAAATAATAGGAAAAAAAAACAGATTTCATCTCTAAAGTATATAATCATCAATTTTCGTCCTTTAATTATCTGCAAAGTTATTTTTTTTAGAAGCAATTGTAATAGAACTAAGGGATGGAAAATGTCACTTTACAGATCATTGAAAAACTAAAAGTAATGAGTATAACTGATTTGATGAACGAAATGGAAAGTGTTGTTTTTATATAATTTATGGACGAAAAGTGCAACATCAGAAGGAAGAAAGTAGGAAAATGGATCGGAAAGAAAGAAAAAACCCATAATTCATATTTCATAATTAAGTAGGGGTTAATATAATTAACATGAAATTAAAATTAAACAACCTGCATACTGGAGCTTAATTAAAAGGTGATCTGATCTGGGGACTGCATGTTTTTTTACTATGTTATTCAATTCTTAGCAGTAGCTAATTAAAACTATGTAGGTAGTAGTTGTTGGAGCTTGAAAATGGATAGGTAGATAGATCATAATTTCCAAGGTTAACTCCTATAACTAATAAACTAAAATCAGCCATGCGAGAAGAAGAGTGAGCTTGCTGACGCTGCAGATGACCCCGCCGCCGCCGCCGCATTCGACAGGTAACCGTACGATCTCTGTCCGAAGCAGTCTATCGACATTCTCGGCGGCGACACCGCCACCGTCACCGACGGTGATGAATTCGCTCCTGAATCTGACGGAGACCCTGTATTATATTACATACACACATACATACATATATATATATTACCATAAATTAGTTCAAACTCAAATTCAAATAGCTCTAAATAGAAATTTGGAACAACCCAACCAAATTAATTGACCTGGTAACCAGAACGTTACAAGTCAACTTTCGGTTAAATCGAGCCTGATTTGAGCTGATCAGCTATGGATAATATAAACTGATTTTACCGAACTAGGATCACAAATAAATATGAATAATGTTTGTATATATATATATGTAGCTAACTTACTTGCAAGGGTGTCGGACGAGGAATTTTGGGCATTATCAAGAAGATGATGAGTGTTGTTGAAGGCGGTTTCACGGTTTGGTTGTTGGGGGTTTTTCCTCCGGCGGCGGTTGTGGTCGGCCAAGCGGCGGCGGCAGCTTCGTTTGCCGTTATCGAATTCCGACAGGACATGGAATCTGTTAACGGCGTTAGTTAACACACAGTGAAACATAGAAGTAGGTAGTAGGAATGAGAAACGGAATGGTCAAATGTTAGTGTCGATCTAATAATGAAGAAGACGATGAGAAGTTGAGATCAGACAAGAAATGGGAAACGCTGTTTTACTATAACGAGGAAACGGCGTATCGAACGCATGTGGGGGGACATAAATTTACGGACGGGAATGCCCTCGGGATCGCCACGAGAGGAAGTAATGATTGGGTGGGAAGTGAGGGGGTGTACCCGAGGACATTCCCGTCATTTAATTTTCTAGTCTTTGTTATACATACGGAGTTTTAAGTTTTATGATTAACCAACCTGCTACACTGTTGACAGAAGCGCTGAGTCAACCCGCCGGCGATGACGGTGGCGGCTTTGGCGTGGAACTCGCACACCTTGTGGCGGCGGTGGTAGTGCTTGGCGTGGGTTAGGTCGGCGTTGCAGCCCTCGGCTTGGCACCGAGGGGTGTTGAAAGACCCGGCGTCGACAGCCCTGGACCGCCGGTAAAGCCGGTTCACGAAATCATCTTCCGCCGACGAGAAGTACGTCCTCCCGCCCAAGTTCAGCCCCAGGCTGGCGCCGGAGAACTCAACCCCGCCCAGCGGCTCGCTCTTCGGGACCACCACGAACCCCGCCGCCTCCTGGGAGAGCAACGGCACCTGATGAGAGCCATGCTGAAACGCCGCCGCCGCCGCAGCGCCGCCGTACGCGCGTGGATCGTAGAGAGAGCACAAGTGAGCACTGTTCTCCTGACCCGCCTGCTCCCCGGGGTGGTGGTGGTGGAACAGCTGCAAGTGGTCAGCTCCGGCGAAATGGGCGCTGGGGCCCACCAAACTCCCCCCAGCCGCCGCGGCGTCGTCGAAGCCGCCAGTCTGTTGCCCACCATAAGGGTCGAAGAATTGGCGGTGGTTCTGGGCCGCCGCCGCCGTTTCATCCCCGGAAAACATCACCGTCGCCGATTGGTTCCCCCATTCATAATCCAACATTGCATCTCTTTCACTCATACGCACACCACTATCCAGTAAAAAAGAAAAAGGGAAATCAGATCAATGGCTGGGAAGAAAAGGGAGTTTTGATGCCGGAGAGGAAATCTGTCAGCTTTAAGAGGGGGAAGATTTTGTGGAGAAGAAAAGCTGCAACTTTTAAAGACTAGCTTTCAGTGAACTCATAATTGAGCTTTATAAAACAAGATGGATTAGTGTCCATAATATATTACACTAATTACACTTACATCAATTTTTTTTTACCTAAATAACTACCCTATTAATTACCTTTTTTTTTTACCTTGCCTTGTCTAGCTTGTAATTAATTTCATTTTCAGTTTTTAAAGTCTTGTATATATGTTCAAAATATCTGTACCGTACCAGACATGTTACCATGTCAGGTTATTTGGGGAGGGGTTATTGTTCTTGATTATTATGGAGTGGAGTATATATTAGGATTTTGTAAATACATACATGTATAGAGGTATATCAAAATATCAAAGTAATGTAACAACAAACAAAATAAAAATGGACATAACACAAAAAGAAAAATAGCAATCTAACTTGGCCGAACTTAGACTCCACGACATCCAAACTAAAAACATGTCTAATACTTTTGAGTGGACGATCAGGACAGAGTTACGTTCATGTGTACTAACTATATATTTTTCTCTTGAAACTTCCCTAACTCTTCTTTTTATGGAAGTTTTTTTTTTTTTTTTTTTTTTTTATAATTATGTTGGACAGTAAAATTTTATTTCTTGTATATTTTAGGAAATATTAGATTTTTGGTCCTTGACTTATACTTCTATGGTGTGATTTTATTTCTTGTATATTAAATTTTATTTCTTGTAATCTTTTTTTTTAATTTTTATTAAAATTTATTAAAAATGCCAACTCAGCTGTCACGTAAGCAGGTAACATGCTAAAATTTATGGTAACCTGCTATCAAGTGAAATTGCATACATTTGGAGTGTTCAGTAGCCTAATTGCATTTTTTTCGTTCAGTGACCTAATTGCATTTTCAGATTACATTCAGTAGTCAATTTGAACCTTATTCTTTATTATTATTATTATTATTATTATTTGCCATTTATGAATTGGTATGGGAATCACATTGACTTTTAACAAAAAGTAAGTGTACTAGAAACAAGTGCGGGCATGCAGTATTGCATTCCATTCCTTGGGGTTGTTATGGTTCATCAGTCCATGGAATGAGTAATAGCAGAGATCAGATCATATCCAAATATGCAACCCTTCACTTGAGGCTTTTGCTCAGAGATCAGATTGGTTGTTGAGTACTTGTACTTTAGCTGTGCCAAATCAGTTGCCTGCACAAAGTCAAAAATACAATCTCCATCTTTATGTGATCGAGTTAATATTTAAATTTTATTTAAGGGTACAAATACCGTGCCTTCAGTAAGTCAAACTGTTTTATATTTTGAGTTCCCGGTTAGTAATATCTATCGATTTGTCGTAAAATATCTAGTTATTATTAAGTTTGAACTCCAAATTTAATGGTCCATCATCACTCCTACTTTGGAAACTGGTGGCTTCTCAATTCTCCTACCTGGGGGAGGAAGTCAATTGTGAGATATATATGCACTCCTGCTGTAATTTATGAACAAATACTATATTGTAACTGAGACGATACTACTACAAAAATTTGTTATTTTACTCTTAGTTTCATTATTATTGAACTAAAAAAATCTTATATTAATACTTTGTCTGATTTTACTATTTTACCCAGCTTCACATTTTGATCTTATCTTGATTAGTTAAGCTTTCATTATTAGAAATAAATAAAAGCGGACAAGTTACGTTTAAGGAGGCAATATAATGTTGGACCAAGATTTTAGTGTTGAAGGAAAATATTGATTCAAAGTACTGTACTATTGTGCATTATCAATTATGGAACACCTTCAAGTTCCCAGTAGTATGTACATAGTACATGACTTTGGGTATTGGGACTAATCTATTTTTTTTTGGGGGGGCGGGGGCAAGAATCCCCATTCTATTGGGAAGTAAAAACGACCCGGGCAGGGACTAATCTATTTTTTTTTTTTTTTTTTTGATAATTTACATTTTTCTGATTTTATTGAACTATATCCTGAATCTCATAAATCCGTTCCTAAGCTTATGAAGAGGTAAATTGAGCTAATCTTATTTATGGATTAAGCTATTTCATTCAAGGAATTTTCTTTGGCTGCATTATATTGGTGTTAATTTTACTTTAGAATTTTTTTTTGGTTCTATTTTTATGGTAAAATAAGAATTCCAACTAGTAGTGATATAGTCTTGCCAACCATCTCTTGATCGAACCCATTGCACAAAGTCTTTCTAGTGTAATTTATCTATCCTATGTAATCACACGAGCAGAGTTTACCTAATGCACACTCTAAAGTAGTGGTCGTAGGTTTCTCTCGTTAATCCAATTAAATCAAACATTAAAAAGGTAATTTGAAATTGATATGGATAGTATACAATTATTTACATAACAAGGATTGCTTGTATATAATTGTGGAGCTTTGGGCTATTTATGTCCGCTTATGTAGTATTGGGGTAAGGATTACTTATAGCCTTGTAGTATAATTCTATGCAGACTAGATGACATCTCACTTGAAACATTCGAACCTTTGCCTCACCTTATTTAGTGCTCCCTCTAATCTTCTCTTTGCATCTGCTAATTACTTTGCCCACAATATTTTTTAAAAATTAATTAATGAATGACACTTGTCATCGAAGCAGAAAAAAGATAAAGTAGAAACTGAAAGTATATATATATATATATATATATATATATATATATATATATATATATATATATATATATAATTTGTTAAATCAAAATACAAAACAAAATGCCATAGAAGGCTGACACAGACGTTGACTCTTAACGTACGGTAAAATGTCTACTTGTTCACACATTTTTGGAGAGAATAATTATCTGTTGGGGGCTTCAGACTTGGCACAGCATTCACATGTGATGCACATAATGTAACACTTGCACACTTGCACCACCATTGCTTTCTAGACTCTGTCTGATTGCCCAAGTCAAGTTAGGTTTTTTTTTTTTTTTTTTTTTTTCTTCTTCTTCTCTGTCTTTTATTTTAGAAAAGAATATATATATATATATATATATATATATATATATATATATGATGAAATATCGTGAGTCTCTTTCAGTTTAATCAGCCTGATACAAACAAGATTACTATGGGAGTGTGTTCTGCCACCTTTTGATGCCTGAACAGACCATGGTGATTAAGTGATTTTGGGGTCTCTAAGTCTTTGTTGATAACAAAAATTTAAAAGGAAAATGAATGATTTATTGATTGATTGATTAGTTTTGTATGTTTCTAAGCAACGAAAAGGGGGGCATGTATGTCATCACCAAGAACAGTGCCAAATTAATGAGAGGGATTAATGATGAAATGATGAAGGAAAGTGGAAAGGGCCATGTGATGAAGACAAGTGAAGAGGCTGTCTGTGGGTAAGGGCTAATGAATTTCAGGAAGCAATTCAATGGACAGGATTTAGTTTTGAGGTAGATACACACATTATTATATGTAATGTAATCACAGTCAATACACAACCTTAGTTTTCTTCCCACTCACATGATCCACATTAATGTAGGGATAGGAAGCCACCTAATACTATTCATAGCATACGTCTCCTTCTTGTCTCATAGCTAACATTCCAATATGCAGACAAAACAGACAACAAACCTTTTTAATTTCTTCTTCTCTTCTCTTTTGATGATGAATCATAATCATCCTCTGCAACATAAACAAGTTCGGGTTCCTGCAGATTAGAGAATTAAAATTAAATTAAATTAAAGTAAAGTTCGGCTCTGAAAAGATGTGTGTATTGTAAGATAACGAGGTCGGATAAGACAAAATGCATTTAAAAGAATTGATGCCATGTCAACATCTCATAACTTCAAATCTAAAAAAGATAGCTAAAATGACAGTGATAACACACAGAATGGATTTTTATGTTTGTTTTTGAATTCATTGATGCATGCATGCAGGGCCCTTAAACACACATCTTTCAAATGGAACTCAATCATGTGTAAAATCCAAACCAAAATCATGTTCGCCGCACTGACAAACTTGCTCCGAAAAGGAAGAAACATGGTCCACATCCTAGGAAGAGACCACCTACATCCATCAAACAAATTGGCTGGTAATGCAATTAAGCAAATTAAGCCCCTTCTTCTCCTATGGGGGTGAAATGTCAACAAAAATACAAGGGAGATGTCTGCGTCATTGAAACGCTGGAATTGGAATATAGTCCAAGCAAAATTGTCAGGCTGTAGTACAAGGTCATGTGAATCAACAAATAATTATGCACAGCTAATCACCACATCAAAATAAACCAGATGCCATCAACTTAATTGAATGGGGTTGTTGGGGGAAGAGAACCCTACCCACATGTAAAATTAACTAAAAATGGGATAAAATAAATGTTCTTTATGCATCCATAAACATTTGTCACCAAGGGGTCAATAGACAATAGCATTCACTATTCAGCTTTTCTATTTGCAGAACAGAAGAGTAGTGTATGTAATTCATACCGAGATTGCAGGGGAGAAGCCTAGTAGCCTACCTGCTTGCTCTTTCATGTGAACTGCAACCATATTCAAGTAAGCACATCCTCAGTTTGTTCAAAATGCTGATGACAGACAACAAACCAAAAAGGCCAACACTGCATATCCGCAATGAGCCAACAAGTTGGAAAAATGGCTACCATGAAAATATTCTCCTACTGATGTTCTCACAGATTATCTTACTTACACAATAGCTGTATTATATAAGGAGAGTGCTGAGAAGGAAATTTCACAAAACTAAACACTTTGGCAACACAGTAGAAATTTACAGCAAAAGAGGAAACAAAATGGCACCGCACAGGACATCCTTTCCTCGAAGAGTAATAGAAACACAAAAATACATCCACTGTGCTACATTCTTCCTAGATCACTTATCAAAAACACTAGTAATTTCCAAACGCACGTTCCAGCCAGCAGAAATAGCTAATCAACATCCACTGTGTTAATATCCTTTTGCACAATCTGCAACAACAGAATTCACTCTCGCATCATTAATGCTGACAACATGGATTAACACAACTCTTAACATTAAAAACGAAAATAATTGCAATTGGGCTTCTCATTGCTCCATCCTGACTGGGAACAAAGAGATTACATACATTTAAGGCAAAGCAGCTATAAAAAAATATATTAGGACTAACATATAACTATAACTAAGAGTTTCTTTTGCAGAAGTTATATTAATAACTTGCAGCTTGTGTTAGTTTGCTAGCTAGTTTACAAGCAATGATCTTTATACGATTTACAGTGGCTTCTCATTGCTCCATCCTGACTGGGAACAAAGAGAGTACATACATTTAAGGCAAAGCAGCTATAAAAAATATATTAGGACTAACATATAACTATAACTAAGAGTTTCTTTTGCAGAAGTTATATTAATAACTTGCAGCTTGTGTTAGTTTGCTAGCTAGTTTACAAGCAATGATCTTTATACGATTTACAGTGGCTGAATGGCAATTCTTTCATCATGCAAAACTATAAGCAATCTTTTAAAGTTACTTGAACGGCAAAGCCTCCATTTCAAAAGTCAAAAGCAAGCTGTAAACTCTACAAAAACAAAATAAAACGAACATACGCATTCATAAAAATTTGGACTTACTACAACTAATGAGTACAAAATTCCTAATTGCCTTCATGCCTTGCACTACACAGATACAGGGACATAAGGAAGGAACTAAAGCTAGACAAATGCCCAAATCATACCTTGGATATATACTCTTTCATTCTATTATTAATATCCTCATCTAGAGCTCTCTCAGCAAGCTCATAATGTATAACATTTCCTTCAGGACCACTGACTTTCTCTTTATGCACATATCTGCACGGCACAAAGTCAAAGATGGGAAAGCTAGTCCAACTTAATGCAATCATTTTAGTTAACACCACTCTAACACAGCAATACTGACCTTTGCTGAACAAGCGCCTCCAATGCCAGTTTGAGGTTACCAAGGACAGGATGGCTTTCATCAGTTTGCATCAGACCCAACCGTCTCAAATGACGCCAAAGATCTTCTGCAGAACATTGATGATGACATTAATAAGCTTAATCACTGTAAAATAGGCACACTCTAAAAGAAGTGCTGAACGAATGATTTTCCCTGATGAATGGATCACGTACCCTCTGTTATATTGCCTCCGGCAAGATAAATAACACTCATGACCACAAATGTGAAACCAGTAACATGTGATTTGCTCTTATCCTCCACACACTCCTTGTAGGCTTTTGGAGGTAACTTACTGATGAGAATATATGATTTTGCATCAGCAGTGGCTGTCAGGAATTGTATCTCCATAATTAGAATTAAAGAAGAACAAGAAATGATCATAAACTCTCACAACTAATTGACTTCAAAAGTGTTTTCAAGTGTGATGCTTGTAGAACAATGCTTTCCTAGTTCCTAAAGAATCCAATAATGTATCAGTTAATATACTAATGAGCAAAAAAGCTTTAAACAAAATCGTTTTATTATTCAATTGCCAAAAACCAAAAGTTTGCAAATTTAAAACAGGAAATCAAGCAAACAGTTATAAATAGAAACCTTGCTGCGAGAAGCGATTGGTGGTGGACAAACGGGCGCGCTGAAGCTCCTTCATTTCGTAACCGAAGATTTCCTCGAGCTTCTTCCTAGCCTCATTGATAACAAAAGCAGGGAGATTCCTCTGCCGGTAGTTTTTGCCGGTGATCAACTGAGTCAAATCCTCCCTCTTTATCGGACAGCCCGAGCTCTGCTCAGTCTTGAACAACACGTAGCGTATTACTTCTCCGACGAGCTTGTCCTTTTCCTGCCACACAAAATCTGTAAATACAAAGACACAACCACAAGCTCATAGACATAGAAAAGGATTTGGAAGGGCGAAGCAAACCTCGACGGAGATGTCGAATTGAGCGAACTCCTCGAAGGAACCAGACATCTTCGACTGATAATTTAGCTTCAAACTTCAAAGTAGTTGGCTTGTTTTCAACTCTGCATTGGAGCTCCCTTTTCTTCTGCAATGGATGACAAGAAAGGAAGTCAAGGAAGGGCTAGGGGAGTGGTACTGGTACGGTTTTCCGGGTCGAAATTAGGGCTTTTCCCGCCATTTCATGGCCCATCATTTTTACCCGCAATTATATTTATTTATTATTTATTATTTACAAATTACAACTCCGCGCAAAATTTTATTTAATAACAATTATATATAAAAATACCATTTTCAAAAAATATATATATATAAAAATACCAATTAATACAAGTAAAAATGAACTATAACATCATTTTTATATTCGCAGGAGAATGTTCAATGATATTTTATGTCAATACTCACAATCACTTATACTTACTAATCACTTGTACTTTCATATCAAATTAACTATTTTAAGCTGTCACACTCGATCCAAGCACAATGAAACACTCGCCTTCAATTAGATTCAACTCAAGTATTCGCTCTAATTGTGTCGTGCTCAAAATTGTACGTTCATGTACTTCAACTAATACCTATCATTCTAATTTCTACCAAATCTCAAGCAACTGACCCGCTTAACATTGAGGCTTTGATGTAGACTCCATTTTTTACTTGTTCATGTTGAGATCTCTAAAGTGTAAGAGTTGATTCACACTTTATAAGTATCTTCAGGCTTTCTTGACACAACAAAATCATCATTCAATTTTTCATTCTTAGGTGATTATCTAAATATTGATATTGATTATAACATTCAATTTATAAATTTCAAACCGAACACAATTATTCAAAATATGATTGATTACAATAAATATCGTGAAAATAATATCCCTACAATATTAATGTAACTCAAATAACATATAGGGAAAATGACACTTTTTCCCCCTTTGTTATATACTTATAGCACTTTTTCCCCCTAAATTATTTAAGTGGCAGTTTTTCCCCCTGATATATTAAATAGACATATTTACCCTTAAAATAAATATTTCATTTATTTTTCTTCTCCAACAAATTATAACCACGATTTGAAAAAATAAAATACATTAAGTGTTGAATTTAGAATATTTTAAAAATAAAAAAATAAAATTTTAAAATAAAGTTTGAACCAACCGTTCAAATTGGATCCAAAATCGTAAACCGACGGTTCAAAATAAAACTCAAACCGAGATTATATATACTTATATGTGAGAGTCAATATAAATGCGGAAAAAAACATACACTATTTGCAAATATTATAATTATAATTTAAGCTATTGCTAGTAGTTGTTCCGATTTGAACCTCCGGTTCACGGTTCAGGATCCATTTTTTTCCAGTTCACGATTTTAATAAACGGAAACCCAAATATTGGGTTATGTTATGAATCATAACCGAAATTTTTTAATTTGATTGCTATAGTGTTTGGTTCAGTTCGAACCGAACCGCGGTCATCCCTACGTATAAGCAATAATTTGTTGAAGAAGAGAAATAAATAAAATATTTGTTTTAAGGGTATAAATGTCCATTTAATATTATCAGGGGGAAAAATCGTCACTTCTATAATAATTGAGGGGACAAATGTGAATGCATGAATAACACAGGAGGAAAAAGTGCTATAAGCATATAACACAGAAGGAAAAAGTGCCATTTTCCCTAACATATATAATCAGTATAAATTAGCACAATATATTAATAGACATCATATTGATCAACATCATCTTAAATATTATTTAAAATTATCATGCCATGACTACTTAAATTAAAAATAAAAAATCCCCATCCTTGTCTAAATCCTTATCTTACCCATCATCATTTGAAGTGGACCTCTTACTTGCCACTTCAAAGAGAACAGAGAAGAACATGGGAGGAGGAGCCTTGTTACCACCGCTAGCCCGAGCAGTCGGAGGCCACAGCCACCCTGCTGACATCATCACGCCACCGCCATCGCCGCCGCTGCCGTCACGCACCGTCGCCAACTTTCAGTCTCGTCAGTCCATACCCTCCATATCTACTGCATCCCCCGATGCTGGGCCGTCTCGTCCCTTGGACTCCATCTTTGGGCCTCTGCCCTCCACAACGGAGCTCGAAAAAGCCATGTCCGATCTCCGGTGGTAATATTATTATAGCTTTAAACCAATTGAAATTTTGTCGGATTTCAATACATCAAATTAAGTTCTTGGTAGTCCCACGCTCAATTCAGTTGCTGTAAATGAAGTATAGAAACCAAATTGAATCGAATCCTAAGTTGCAGAAACCTCAAACTAATCTGATAGTTTCAATTCCATGGTTGGGGATTGGGATTGCTTCTGGGCTCTGATCATTTTGCTGTTTCTTCAGTTTTATGCAAGAGATTTCTGCAGCTAGACGAGAGTTGAGCTGGCTTTGTTCTGATCATTCAAGAACAGTGATGCAGTCTTCTGGATTTGGAAGACTTTGTGATGCCTTTCATATGCTACAAACAGAACCATCTGTTCAGGTACTACTGTTTCTGTATCTACACCTTGACAATTTAGGGAATCGAAGAATGTGATCCGTCTCAACTAAAAGGAATCGAGATGTACAAATTGAAGCATGTGCTCCATCTCAACTAAAAGCCTAAGCTGATAGTTGGATTGCACATTAATGGTTATATGCTCAACAGTACATAAGACTAAATGGACCAATTACCCGAAATTATAGTTCAATCCTCGCCTCGTTTGTACCTGGCTTAGTTCTTGAATTGGAGCATAATAGGAAAGGGGCATATGTTCTTGCTTTTTTACTCAGTTGTTACTTGCTTGTAGAAAATGGTTCTCTCCATAGCGTGTGACAAAGCTGTTTGGGATGCCATTATGAACAACCCAGCAGTTCAAGATTTGCAAGGCTTGTTGTTTGCAGGGACTGCAGGTTTACACGAGACTATGCAATTCTATTCATGTATAGTTAGACTGTTTGATTCGATCTCCTTGTTTCATTGTTTGGTTTAACTAACCATATAGTATTCCAAAGGACGAAGGGATTGATGTTGAAATTTATGTTTGTTGTTATTTTTCGTTCTTACAAGTTACAGGTAAAGATGAAGAAGAATCTCTGAGCTCTTCACCTGAGAAGCTTGACATGGTTGCTGTCATCATGAAATGGATAATGGACATATTAGAGCTGGTTCAGAAAATCGGGACCCTAGCAGGCCTGATTTTTCAACCGGCTGAGGATAAAGCCATGCCGACTTCTGAACTCTCTGGTCTTGTGGAGGAAAAGATACGATCTTCTTTCCTTCTTTCCATTGTTCTGCTATTCATAGTGGTTGCCACTAGAATCCACGAACATTGATCAACATTCATAGACAAAGTAGCAACATAGCAGGCATCTCCTCTTTGTTATATTCATATGAACTGTGTTTCTTGTACTAATGAAGTGTGAGTGTTCCTATGATTATAAACACACCTGTTTTCACAACATATAGGATTTGCCATATGATATAGGCCCTCTTTGGTAACATAGTTAGCTTATCAGTTAATTTTGACTTATTTGACCACTATTAGCTGTTTGACTTGGTTAAACAACCAATATAAGTGTTTGATCAGCTTTTTGAGAAAGTCATTTTACATGTAATCAGCTACCAATATAAGTGTTTGATAAGCTTTTTGAGCTTTTTGAGAAAGTCATTTTACATGTAATCAGCTATTAACAGCTAATTTACCAAACATCTTTCTACAATCAGCTAATACTATCAACTAGTCAAACGCACTAACCTAATCAACAAACAGTTATTTACCAAACACCCCCATAATCAATCACGAGAGCTTAATATCGGGTTCTTGCTCTTACATGGATTTAGCATCTCTTACAGGTTTTGTATGTTCTCTTGCAATGCACCCCAATATGTGATTATTGTGAACAAGTGAGAATAATGGGTAGCTAGATTATTCATGGAAACTTACAATGATTTGACCCTATGTTACATTTTTCTTTTATGTATAACCTGCCACTACGAGACTAATTTGGATTTAGATAAGGTCGGATCTGCAAAGTCTAACTCTTACTCGAGAAAGATTTGGCCCGACTTGTGTTACATTTTTGACATATCCAATGATTACCTATTCATGGTTTCTATGAAAATTTACAATATTTGTTAGTTGCTACTTGCTAGGTGCCCAAAAGCCATGGAACCCAAGAGGGAAATTCAAGTGCCTTGGAACTTCAGCTCTTGCCACCATTGCCTTACTTTTCCCAATCTGCTTTGCATCCAACACAACCAGATAGCACCTCTGTGTTGCCACTGCATACTGCAAAATTCACAATTATAACATCGTTAGAGTTCTTAAGTACCAGTCGACAATCTCTTGTGAAGCTGATGAGGGTTCGTATCAGATGCGAATAAGAATCCACACTCACCTCAACAACAAGAAGATACCCGTCATCTTCATCATCATCATCTTTGGTTCCTTTGGGGACGAAAACCGGTTCACCAATGAATCTTCTTCTCCCTGCAGACCAGGTGTGGGTGGACTTATCTGCAGTGTTTAGCTTGACGACTGTGTCGAATGGGAAATGCGGCAGTGCTTGGCGTGAACCGGAAGAAGTTGCAGCATAAACACATGAACTCTTCCTGCCGGAATAGTCTGGATGAATGGCTGGGAAATCTGCTGCTTTGCCCCATTCATTCAACTCATTCACTGCAACATTCTGGCAATCCCCATTTATATCCAATCTTATTGATACCTACATTAATACAACAACAACAAAACCAAATAAATAACAACAATTTATACAACAATTTTGCACTTTATTAAGTGTGTATGGAGCAACACGAATATCAACAATCAATAGCTGGTTAGCTATGGACAATTTAGACTGGTTTTATGTGATTCTTCGTCGATTAAGGTCAGAAAGTGAACTTCACTTAGTATATACTTTTAAATGGCGCGGATTTTTCTCGTAAATCAAGAAGATGACGAGGATTTTCTCGTAAATCAAGGAGTGTAATATGGTTGTAAGAAATGATGATAACCTGGACTAGGTGAGGCAATAGTTTATCTTCACCTTCTCCCCTATTCATCATTGCAGGGTCTAGCTTTCCACTTTGCCAATCATATCCTGCCAAAGAAAATTAAAGATTTAATAAATAAATAAATGCAACAACAACAAAAAAAGTAACATATATTGACAAAATTTTGAATTTCTTACCAAACATTTTCTGGAAATTGAACCATTGATAAGAACAGCCAGAAGCCTGGATTTGAATCTCAAGATTGCCACTGTCATCTCTGTCCTCAAAGGCATTTCCAACATGCAATACCCACATCTGCGATGGAGCTTCTATGGGTATTTTCCAGTCTCTTTGGACAACATTGTCCGTACTTTCACTTCGGGGAAACCGAGGTAGCAGATAAATAGGAGATGTTTGCTTGCTTGGATTCACTGATAATGCAGATATCATCGGAGACAGCCCACAAACCGCCGTCATTGATCCTGCAGTTCATATACACAATCCATGATTTATAAAAAATATATTATGAACCTATACTGATTCGTATCATAAAAATTCTCTTATATAAACGAGGTTAAATCATAAAAGGACAAAAAGAAATTACCAGGAACATCGAGTTTGATCCGATTACCGAACAAAATGTAATTGGAATCAGTGAAGGCCCAGTCATGGATCATAAGGTGATCCGGGATGTTGAATTCTTGTTGGTGTAGCAGCTTGAAGTTGGCATCAAGTTCTGGGGAAGACGACAAAATCCAGGTGAACAATAAAGACAAACACGAATATTTCCTCGTATATCATATCAATATTCCTTAATCTAACCAAAATTAATCATAAAAATATTATTTTAAAGTTTAAATCACATTCACATCGTTGATAACATGGCACGCTAACTAAGCTATAATAAACTAAACATTATGTTAAATTACTTTGTCTATATGCTTCCTGGTCTCGAAGTTATCACAATAACATATTTTGTTTAGAGATAATGATGTATTCTTAAAAAGTATTACTGTCAGTTTTGACTGTGAGTTTTTTTAGGAAAACAAGAATTATATTACTAACCGTAGAATGTAAAATTACTGCGTGGTAATAACATGTCTTCTGCATTGCATGATATGATGAGAAGTCTGTTTCTACGAACATCAATCTTGTAATGAGATAAAAATCTCTTGGGAGGCATCTTAAAGACTCCTGAGATTGAAAAATTAGATTAATTATTATTAATGATGTTTTAAAATATGAAAAATGATTAGATTTGATAATATGGACTACGTACCATAAAGTATTGGCTTCAAGATTTGTGCAGCGACGTTCCAGAAATCAGCGGTAAATTTTGTTCCAGTTTCTTCCGACGGAGAAGACGTGGATTCATGGCCGGCGGCGGGGGTGTTCTTGATGAGTTGGAACTTTCCGACGGTGTCCAGACTGCCGGAGTCAATCTCGTAGGGATCGCCACCTTCCCAGAGACAAAACAGCCGCCCGCCCCAGTGTAAAACGCTGGTGTTTGCGACATTCTTCATTACCTTAGTGTTTCCGACCATGTTCTCGCCTTTGAGGACGGAAAACGGTCCCCGGTGGGTGAACCGCCACTGGCCGGTCTCCGGGTCGCGCTCCTCCGCCTGCGCCTCCGTCCGAATGTACCTCGCCATGAACGTGACATTTCCCGTCGCCCCGTCGATTTCAAACGTCCGGAGATAGCCGTGGCCGTCCAGCGGGTGCACGGTGGAGCCGTGGTCGTCAGTGAAGAGCCCCGGCCCGGTGAGGTAATACGTCCCGGAGGGGAAGTCCGACGGTACCGCGCCCTCCACCACCCGCAGCGCCACCGGTTCGACGGCCTCCGACCGCTGCGACACGAACAGAAACTGGTAGTCCCAGAAAGCGGTCACTCTGTCATCCAACAACTCCGGACTGGTAAAGATCTCCGGCGTCGTCGGTGTGATAGTGGTGGTGGGGATTGAGATGGCTCTTGAAACGTGGCGGCTGGGGAACGACACTTGGCTCGTCGTCGCCGCCCCTTGCGGCAGCTTCACCGCCGGCGGAAACTTTGGTGGCGTGATATTATGGCAAGCTTTGGCCAGCATTTTGAATTTGCATATAAGAAGAGAGTGTTATAAGCTTAGTGATATATGATATGATGCAAAGCAATGCATATATATATATATTGGGCTAGCTTATTGTTTAATATTTTTTGTTTTGGTTTTTTTTTTTTTTTTAGTTTAATAAACAAGAATCCAATGATTTCTTTTGATTGATTTATTTATTTATTGAAGTTAAATAAACGTGATAGATAATACAATCATTTAGTACATATGGTAAGTAGAGGTTGGATAAATGGTAAAGTAAGCGGGTTTATTTCTGTTTGTTTTTACGATTAGAATCACCTGATTAATCATCGCTCACTTCGAGAGGTGCTCAGTGAATCAAAAAATGTAATGGTTAAATAATTAGTTGCAATTATATAATTTTAAATGTTATGATTTTGATTATAGAAAATAAAAAAGAAAAGAAAAAGGTTAAGAGTATGCATGGTGGGACTATCTTGCCATTATAATTTATAATTGAATTGAGATTTTACATGAACACTAACGTAGATTTGGAGAGGGTGGTGGGCCTATGAAGCCTCAAAACATTTTAAAGTTGTTGGACAATAAGCATTCAATCACAACTATGAATTGATATAAAGGAAGTTGTTGATTTAATGTATAAGATTTTATATGCTCTATATGTTATATTACTCCTTTTTTCCCATTTAAAATGATGAGTTCCATAATATACTCATCACTTACAAATACAAAGATTTTTTTTAATATTTTAATATTTTTACATTCTACACTTAAATCATACATCACATGTTACGACTCAAACTCTTTTCATTTAAACAATGTCTTCTTTTTTTGTTGTTGTTTGGTTGACGATGAAAACCGTAACCGCTACGAAAAGTGTGTATTAGACAGACTATGCTCATGTGTATAAATCACGCTAACAATATCTTTTGATAATAAAAAGATATTTCATTACACAAAATTTGTTCTTGATGAACATCATATCAACCTCTAACCTTAAAACTTGTTTGGTTCTCAAAAAGGAATATACAAATTAAAGAATTAAGTTCAAATTCCATGAAAAACGAATGAAGGAAGATTTCATATTCCTTTGGTGAATGGGTAAGGAGCTCTAGATATAGGAATTCTTTTTTTTTTTTTTTTATGTTCAAATTTTATTTTTTTTTATATCATCTAATTAAACAAATTAAATAATATCAATATTATTCAAAATATATTTAAATATATTATTATCTATGTCTCATTTTATCGTCATACTCATTATTCATTGATCAAACCAACTCTTTCTTCTTTGTTTATTTTCTTTAGTATTACGTATTTTTTTTTAAATTTTTAAATTTGATTTTTTGTTTAATAGTTCTTTTAGTGTAATTTCTAAATATATATAAATTTGTATATATATACTAATACTAAATTTAATATTATGAAAAATTAGATTAAAAATAACTTCAATCAAACCCCCCATAACCAAACTAGACACGTAAAATGGGACGAAGGGAGTAATATCAAAAAGTAATCATCTTTATCAAATGTTCAGTGTCTACACTATCATCACATTTTCATTCCTCAATTATCTGCAAAATTAAATGTTGGTATATGTCATAGTTGGTTTTGTACTCAAAATTTGATCAAGTTTATTTAAGAGAATTCTCGAAATAATAATAATAATAATAATAATAATAATAATATGTTGACTTATATAAACTGCGCTTACATATGCTCATTAACGATTTGATGCAGGTTGGGGTGTATGACGTTGACTTCTATTATGGTTCAACTGTAACTTTGACGTTAATTAGTTGGTAAGTTAAAAATGATTGTAATTATGATTAATAGTTTCACTGTTTATTTATCTTTATTTGTAAAAGGCGAAATTTTTTCTCCACATCCTGTCCTAATAGAATAGTAGAGTAAATTATAATGATTCAACAATCTCTTAAGTGATCGAGATGACAAGTATTTTATATTCTTTACAATATATATATAATTTATCACATTAGTATCAATTGAACTGCCTGTGTGATCATGCTGACACTATTTGTTTGTCCTGCATGGACTTTTCACTGTTGTCCGTTGATGCCAACTTGGCCAAAAACCTCTTAGGTGTAAACAACAATCATGACAGGGTGGAATGGAACGGCCGTGGTTTTGTTGACGTTATTTCCTAGTATTAATTAAGGAGAATTAATTAGTGCACTATAATGAAGAGCAATTAGTGGATAATCATGTCATTAATTCGATACCAAAGATTGTTGTCGGGTTGATTCTATGAGCATAATGACAAAAAGGGGTCCACACTCCCTGCCCCATGGCCGTCTAATATGGAATCTCTTGATATGCCCTTTCAACTCTGCCATCATGGATGCCCCTACGAATCGGACAATTAGTATTTTAATTATTTGTTCTAAGTGCATGTTGTGAATTCATATATGATTCTTTTTAAATGATTTGTTTGAGATTTTTATTTGCTGCTTAATCAAAATTGGCTAATTTATTCATACAACGATTTCTCTTACATAGAGTTTGCATCACTAATCACTCTAATAGAGTTATAGGACAATCTAACTGATTAAATAATTACGAAGTAGAATGAAATATTGACTCATACTTAACTAGTTGTGACAATTGTCCAATCAACATAAGGTTGTAGAACTACTACGTACTAACATGGATTTCTATAGTTATTTGATAGCTAATACAGTACTCGATCAACTGATCGTCTGATCATGATAGTAAATCAGAAGACACCATACTATATATCTAATCTCTAGGGCTCAACCTCCTAGTTTCATTGTTCTCATGTCTTATAGTGCTAGTTTGTACTTGAATCAACAATAAATTAAATATTCTTTATACAGTGTGAACACAAATCTTTACCTTATTCAATTTACTGTATCACGCCCAACTCTCTCTCTCTAAGTAACAAGGGAAGCCCGCAACCACGACCCATAAGTGTGTACGGGATAAACTTCACTTTTGTATAATAGGCTACAAAATATACAAGAAAAGTAAACCAGACTAATAAAAGTGGAAAACCTTATGCGACGGACTAAACCAAAATAATCTCTTCTAATACAAGAATCATGTTTCACGAACTCAATCGGTCAAACCCTCTTCAATGGGACATTTGCAATTTTCAATTAAAAGATACAAACCCCTACTTCATCTTCCACTCCCTCCTATAAAGCCTCATATGACCAATTTGAAATTCAATTCCACTACTAGCTTAGGAATGTAGATTACTTTACCCCCTATGTTAAGCACTTTATTCTATAAAATTAATTAATAATATGACACTTGGATTAATTTTTTTAAAAAAATATTTTAAAATCCCATATCATAATTCATAATTAAGATATCACAATAATTTAGTATGTTGTGTGTCAAACGGAGCATGATGGTTGTGTGGTGGAAAGAGTTGCAGTAATATTAAAATACATAGGATTTTTCCAAATTGGGTTAAGGAGTTTGACCAAATGGGTCGTGTCAATGATGTTCCAATTGTGTGGATCTTGCCATGGTGGTGGGACCCTTCCTTAGGCTTCCAAGAGCTACCACGTTGGAAACAAGGTGCATTTTGTTGTCACAACTTGCTCTCCTTCCATTTCCTCAATAATCTTTATTCACACTTCCATTTCCTCAATAATCTTTGAATTGTGTGTAAAAATAGAATTGAAAATATTATTGCTAAGGTTTGGTTTTAGTATGACTGAATTGTCATTTACTTGAAGATAAGTATGAGTAGAAATAAACGGATTTAAGCCCTAAGATCAATCAAATTTATAATTTTCTTCCTCAAACTAAGATAGAATGAGAATGAGAATTGCGAATTGGGATTGATCTTAGGGGTTTAAATCAATTTATTCATGTTCAAATTGAGATTATAAGTTAAAAATGACGAAAATACCTTTAAAAATTTTAGATTTCGGCATGTCTTAAAAGGAGGTGTGACTGTTGTGATAAATTTTGACACTAAAGTAATAGTCGTGGATGAAAATTGGTACTAAAACAATAATTGGGGATGAAAATTGGTACTAAAACAATAATTGTGGATGAAAATTGATAAGAATTAAACATGTGGACCAAAACTATCATTTTACTAATACTCGTAGATCAAAATTTGTATTTGCTCTAATAATTTGCAAGGGATGGAATATTGGGCATCAAGTTAGTTTAATAAAGTCAATCCAATAGATTTGGTAGAATTAACCCATAGCATCGGTCCAAACTTTTTTTGTTAGTAGTAACTCTATTTTAAAGTAGTATGTGTTTTATATTTCTCAATCTATTGCAGTTCAAAGAGTCAATATTCTATTACCGGGGTTCAATGCTGTAACATTCTTTCAAAGAGAATTACAGAAATGTCATCTGAGCACAAGGTACTTGGCACATCAGTCCAAACTTAGAAGCTCAACTTTAACGAGAGGGTTGGATTGCACCTCATAAGGCAATAGTGGCTGGATTTCATGTATAAGCATTGCATATATATATGATATATATACGAATGGCACCTTAAATATTGGGCCCTAAGCAAGGGCCCAATCTGCCTTGCCCATGTTCGGGCCTGGGTTTCTCCTTATGGAATATATACAAGAAGGTCAAACATAAAGCTCCTTAAACGACCCGAACTAATATTTGGTTCCTCACCTCCGACCACCTTGAAACCTCGTCATCATCGGAATGAACGTATAAGTGTATAAAATTAGTACACATTAAAATTTATGTTGACTAATTTATTTTATTTTAATTTAATTAGATTTAAGTTAGATTGAGCTCTTTGGACCATTTTTTATCATATGATATTTATTTAAATGGCTATCAATTATTGGTTACATCATTACATGTGAAAGGAATTAAGGAAGTCAGCTAAACAATTATCTGGTTGAAGATTATCTGCCGTTGAGGAAGTGGACAAGGGATGCTAATTACAAGGAAATTATTATTATCATGAGTGGTTTGATTGGATTTCATTGGTTAGCTAATTTCTTGGGAAGTCTGATTGAAGTAAACATTACTATAAAAAGAAAGCTTCTCTTTATAGAAACTTACGAATTTACACTTGCTAAATTGAGAAAAGCCAAATTATATTTATTACATTTTTATTAATCTGATTTTTATTCTTATCTTATGAGAAATTTACAAGGTGCATATTTTTGGATAGTGATTAAATATAAGATTCCACAAAAATCATGATATGTAATTATAGATATAGCACGTGGAGTTAAACTCAGTTATGGTAGCTAGAGAAATTATGTATTTATATCGCGAATTATATTCATCTAGCTAGCTAGAAATAGTACATGCTACCATAAAAATGGCTCATCGAGCTGGAATCCGGCATTGTTTCCGGCGAGCGGCGACGGTGAAATCTGGCCGTACTCATCGTCCATACCACTCACGAGGGAAAGATCCGGTAGGTCGAAAACTATGTCATCGTCGACGACATTGGTTGTCAGCAAATGTTGTTGGGTGTTGTCAGCTGCTCTCGGCTGGGCTCCGTCTTCGCCGGCGTCCGTCGACGGGAATGTGGTGGCGGCAGCCCTGGCGGCGGCGGCCTGGATGTCCTTGGGGGAAGTGGAGGCCGGGCGGGGGAGGTGGTGAGCCAAGTGAGGGAAGTTGAGCGAAGCCGAGTGGCCCTTGATGGCTAAAGCCGCGACGTCGTGGGCGCGAGCCGCCATTTCTGGCGTGGGATAGGTCCCCAGCCATATTCTCGACTTCTTTTTCGGCTCTCGAATTTCGGACACCCATTTTCCCCAAATTCTCTTTCGCACCCCGCTATAACTCGGATATTCCAAATTGGCCCCTCCATTTTTCCTGCTTTTCTTGTTTTCGTCCCCATTCTTGCCTCCATTATTAACTCTCTTCAAGCTCTTCTTGGGAAAGGTGGCGGCCGCCGATGAATTTGAACCGTCGGAATTCGCAGAATTGGAGGTGCATGAAGCGGAGGAGGAGGTGGCAGGGACGGTGGAGGTGGCGGAGGAGCACGGCGGAGTTGTGATGGCATGTTCTTCTTCCATGGCTGTCTTAGCTTAGCTTGTAGTTTCACTTTAAAAATATAGCCTGCAGTTTGGTTGAGGCTTATTATAGGCTATAGAGCTTCTATGAATCTATGGTTCTTCAAAAAAGTTAGAGGATATTTGCACAAGGTAGGGGTCCTTATTTGGACTATTCTTTATATTATTCTAAGGTGAGAAATATGAATTTTGCCCTATTTAATTTCCAACTTGATGTGAAAATTCTCATTTGCATGTGTTAAAAAATGCATTTTTGGGTAATTAAGTTTTAATACCACGTCAGTATTCATTATATTTGTTTAAAATAATAAATTCAACATTATTCTTCCCTCAAAAGGTTGAATTCCCAATTCCAACGGGGATGACGTAAATCACTTTGAGCATAATTTCTACACCGTCGTCACAGAAATGGTCTTTTTTTTTTTTTTTTTCAATTACTGTCTACTGAACTATTAAGTAAATTCAATCCTTTAATTATTGATGTGAACGCTATTGATTTTTTAATATTTAATAAGGATGTTGTGACTTGTGATTTTAATAGTTTTGGTTTCTCAACCACCTATTAACTAAGGCATACTTTAATTGTTTAAAACTACAAACTTACAATTTCATTCTTATATTGACTAATTATATATTCCACGTGTCAGAGATGATTAACTTTAACTATATTCATTGATCATGCCAAAACTGCTATATTATAATAAATACGGAGTAATAATAATGGGTTAATAATATCCGTGTTAACAATTAAGCAATTGGATTTAATTTGTTATTTCGTATAATAAATATATATAAGGCTAAAAAAAAAATTATATTTTTAAAGGTTAGGAAAAAAAAAAAGAGAAGGATTTTTAATTTCACCTTTGAAATATTCTACAGCTTTGTCACACATGTGTGGTCACATACCATTTACTCCCACCCTCTGGAATAGAAAGTGATGAGTGGTGCACCGTGCACCCACAAGATCATATATAAGAATTATTTATATATATTGCGTAGGCACAATTGAACTGATAAACTAAATTCAATTCGTAAGTTTTTCGGAAAAAAAAAATTGTTTCAAATTGATACTAGATTAAATAATAAAATTGTTTGAAATCGATACTAGGTTAAAGCTAAGCGATGAAAGAATATGTTAATGCCTTTTCAAAAAATGATATTACTGGTATTTATTTAATTTATTTCTTTAAAAGTAAAATAGCATTTGTATGACATTGTTGTAAAAATTTTATTGGTTTTTTTTTTTTTTTAAAGAAGTAATTAAAAATGGAAATCCACATAGCTAGCTAGCAGGTTATCCATTTCCCTATCTTGGCAGCTGGGTAAATTGTACTTTTCCTTTAATTTCTTTTGTCATTTCATGCAGTTGTGGTCCTCAACTCCAACTGTAGAATCTTCCAATGCAATAATGGAAAAAAATAAGTTAAACTGCCCAGAAGAAGGTGGCTAGGGAGCAAGATTCCTGTCACGAGTTTGATTCTTTTCAATAGCATCTTTTATTGCATAGGAGCGAGGTATACCTAATACACATCATCTTCTAGAAAAGGATAGCTGAGTGGGGTAACTCTCTCTTAAAAAGGGTATTTGAGTGGAGGAGCGAGTGGGGAATCCCTCAACTAAAATAGCAACCTTCAATTCTTGCCAACCCCCTTTCGATTCAATTGAGTTCATGTGCACACTCGCAAATAACAACGCTTAATCATAACACTCGCACACACTTATATTCTTTGATTCTTTCACAAGTAAAAACCAAAAAAAAAAAAAAAAAAAAAAAAAAAAAAAAAAAAAAAGATTCTTTAACCAAACCACGCATGACTTCTCAATGATTAATTGTCACTTCCCAAAAGTCCTCACTTTTGTACCATGCATTGGGATGGTCCTTACGTGACTCAACATGCATGGCTCCGAAGAAGAATAATATATATATATATATATATATATATATATATATATATATATATATATATATGCAATTTAAACAACCATAACTTAGCTTAGCTTATAACATTTTCTTTTAATAATGGTATTATTAATGTTATTAGATTATTATCGGTATTAATGCCGGTTAATACTAGAAACAACTCCTCCTAATACTAGAAATTGTAACTAATAAGATGAATATATAGTTGAGTAAGATGAATATGTGATTGTACCACTTATATTTTAATTATCACGTTAATCATAAAGACAAGAATCTTGTTTGTTGGAGAGAATATGTCCATTAAATTATGCACGGAAATGCATGTTTGTGTTCCTAGTCTTGTCTACTTGCATGGAAGAGCCTATTTTAATTTGTTCCTAATATTGTCTTCTTGTCTACTTGAATTGCATTGAAGTTTGTGTGTTTGCTTTGTAACGTTTTCCCTATATTGTTATTATTATTATTAAGTCTATTATTATATAATAACAATAGTAATTTAAGTGGTGCAAATCAATAGGCTGACTAAGTATTAGAACTTAGTCAGCATTAGGTAATTGGTTACCTACATTGATGGGATGTAGGTTATTTAGACCCCTAAGTCCTCTCACTGCTCGGTTGACGTATCATACACCTATCTAGAGTCACTGAGAGAAGTGAGAGAAACATAACTGAAACTTACGCAGATTCTACAGCAGCCCGAGGAACTTCTGCAACGAGTCCCTGGTGATCAAGAATCAAAGCTATGGCTGGAGGTTGGTGATCCTAACTCTTTTCCTTAGCCACGTATTTACTGTTTATAACGTGGATTATGTGCTTACATTTGGTATCAAGAGCCAATTTTATCTCTGCCTAGCCTTGTTTAAATTGCACAATTCAGTTTTTTTTACATATGTTATTTTTCATGTATAATTTAGAATATGTATGCACTGTGCAATTGTGTTGGGCTGCTGGAAAAATTGTGTGTTCTTTTTCCGCATTTAGTTTAAAAAAAAAAAAAATTCCAGTTTTTTTTCCCCGTAAACCTCTGCGCAATTTCTTCGCCGTTTTTTTTTTTTCTTCCCGCTCGCCGGCGAGGGGAGTGCTCGCCGGATTCCGTTCACCGGCGAGGCACACCCCTCTGCTGGCGCAGGCCGACTCTCGTCAAGGACGGCAGTGGTGGCGGCACTGGGTTGCTCCCGATAGTGTCGCCACCAACTGCCTCCTTCAATGGCACGGTGGTGGCCGGCGGCGGAGACAAGGGTGAGGCGTGGCGGCAGTGACGACCGGTGGCGGTGGTGTTGGAGCCGGGTCCTCCCGGCCTCTCCGCCGCTGCTTCTTTCCGTCTCCGCTTCGGTCCTGCTTCTCCGCTTCGTTTCCTCTGTACGCGATGCGCAGATGAAGGAGATGATGAGACTTGGTTTTTGGGCCGGGTCTGGCCCAATTCGGCCAGACCTAGGCTCCAAAAAAAAAAAAAAATTTGGCTTTGGGCTTGCCAGAAATTTGGGCCTAAAATTTTTTTTTGGGCTTGCAGGAATTTTTTTTCTTTTTTCTCTTCATCATATTTAGCTTCTTCTTAAGGGTTTTATTCATATGGTTTTTTTTTTTTTTTTTACCTAAAGTTAATATTAAATTATAATTCTTGATCAAATTATTCTGTCTCAATTTGTTGGAATTTTAATTTAATATTGAATTTCAGTTTAAATTGTATTCAGTATCGCAATTTAATTGTGGAGCATGAGTTATAATATGCATAATCTGAACATGTTTTATTGTTTATTGCGTTAATTATTTGATTGTTATAATTATGCGTATGTTAGCAAAGCATGTTCTTTAAGTATGCATCTAGTGCCTTTAGGTCTGAATTATATGCCTATTAAGCATGTTATAGTGCCTTTTAGGTGAATTTAGTGCCTTTTTAAGGATAGATTAAGCATGTTAGTTTACTCATTTGGTTATTGCTCCGCTCGTGTCTTTCTAAAGCAATGAAGCACATAAAGTAAATCAATGTTCTAGTTTACCCAAATTTAAGGCCTTATCCACAGGTTTATAACCATATTATAGATCATCCAAACAATTTTACTTCAAATATGAGAATACATGACTTAGGGAAGTTTCTTGGGGAGGTATACTAGTTCTATGGCCCTGGCTTAAATGCCTTGTTGCTACTAGTCCCCTTGCAACGCTACTCTGTCTAAGGAGTTGGTATTTAACCGAGCTTCGTCTCGACCAACTTTCCTGGGAGTATACCTAAAGATTGTCTATCATGTTTTGGTTTAATTTGTTTGCTAGGCTTTAAACTCCCTTTTGCCAAGTGATTACAGTTTTGCAATTAAAGAGTAGCCACAGCATCTTTAATTGCTTAAATTGTATTTAGGTTAACTCACATAAAGAGTTGGCAATATCCTTGTAATTAATTCTATATGATATGGCGAAATTTAGCCCACAGGCAATTTTGTTGTATTTGTAGGATTGATTAGGATGAAATGCCAGACTATGATCATAATTTGCCCACAGGGATTATGTATCGGCATATAGTTTTGGTAGTTTTGTCATCAAGGGTGGAAACACCCAAACCGTACCCTTTCTGGTTTTCACCATTCAGTTTGGTAAATTCGTTATACGTAAAAATTTAGCCCACAGGCAATTTTTATGGCATTTGAGTTTATCTTTTGCATAAGTTTGCATTGGCAAAACATGCACTTTAGTTCATTTATGCCTCGAAAATCAAAAACTAACCAGTTCATAATTTCCTTTCAGAACTTACCCCAACTAGCTCACCCATTCATGTTCCGATGCTTACTGCTAATAATTATAGCCACTGGCGGGATTCACTCCTAATCTACTTTGGCATGAGAGAGATGGACTATGCTGTTTATAATTCAGAGCCCCCGGCTATAACCGCGACGAGCTCTCAAGAAGCCAAAGACCTTTGGGCTAAGTGGGAACGATCCAATCGCCTGTGCATATTTTTCATTCAGTCTCGGGTTCCGAGTAATATACGTCGCACGGTTGATACACTTAAAACCGCTCAACAGTGTATTGAGGCCATTGACAAGAAGTATGAAACTTCTGACAAATCCCTAGCAAGCACCTTAATAATGCAGTTCACCTCCCTTCGTTTTTCTCCTGCCGATGGTGTGCGCAGTCACATAATGCAACTAAGTGACATTGCAGCACAGCTTGACAAGTTGAAGATCAAGCTGCCAGACTCATTTGTAGTGCATTT